ATAGAACTGTCAAGAAGAGCGGAACACCTGCCACACAAAATTCTTAATGTGTCTGTATGTCTATGGGAGAGAGAAAAAGTACATTGGTAGAATTAAATTTCAGTATCAAAATCGGCTTTTGCTGTAACCTGTGTTCACAGACCCTCTATATTTTCTCAAGGGCGCGTATGAAAACAAAAACCGTGGAGGATTTACTTACAGCAAGAGCTCGCACACAACAATTGTCGAAAAAAAAAAGAAGAAAGAAAAACGTCCGTGAATAGGCTTCTTTTCCAATCAAAGCGTTAAAAACCTCTCGTACCATCCAATCTTTACCTTTGGATGGTGGCTGCCTATATACTAGCCTGCGTAGCAGGCGCTTGGAATTAGTGGGCGAAAGAGAGAACTGGCGCGCGCGAGGGAGACACGCGAGCCTTGTTTTCTTGTGTCCACTACTTCCAAGCGCCTGCTACGCAGGCTACCTATATACTGACGTCTCTCTCAATTTTTAAATTTCGGTGCATGCAAAGGATGGTACTGACGGTGCAAATAGACCTCCCATGATGCCTCGCGGTTCGCTTATTTTCAGTTTTTGCCGGCGAGAAATATGCGAGCCCAGTCTCGTACCCAGGCCTGTTCGCGCTATCCGAGTGACCAGAGGCGAATTTTCCCGACAAGCTTGACAGGTGACGTCACATCCGAAATCGCCGAGGACGACTGGGAACGAGGCTGATGCGAGCCAGCACAATATTCTCTACAATAGCGGGAAAAATCCAAAATGTGTCGAATGTAAGATCAGAAGCATGCGCAGTCGATTGGTTTTCTTTTATCCGAGGTATTCACTCCTGTGCGATGACCTCACGTAAAACGCACGTAGACGAGATCACGAGTAAATTTCCACAGCACGCAGATTATAACAGAGGTTTTGGTTGAGGATTTGGTACCACGCCGAACCAAAGTATTTTTGGCCTGTTGAGGTGTTAAATTTGACCATTGTGTCAGAATCTCTGCCAGTTGAGGTAAATGATTCAGCAGATAATTTGACAATGAGTCACATTTGTCCGTGGGTGCGAAGGAAAAGCTTGGAACTATCAAGCACTTTCACGCTAACCGCTGGCTGACCATTCCACTGTAAAATTATTTGACTTTCCCGTTGGCAAGCGCCTGCTTAGGCTACCGTCGGATGCAATTGTTTTTAAACCTGTAAGTCAAAAGAAACTTCTCGAGAACCACAATAAACCCGTTAATATCCATGCGTCGATATATTCGCACCTCATTTCGCGAATCGGCAAAAATTGTTGACATAGTACAGCAGACAAACTCTTATTCTAGCTAAGAGCTACATTTGTAACTGAGTGCAAAACGAGCGACTGTTTTCACCCATATGACAGTAGAGAGAAAAACTGTGGCTCAAAAAAAGGCATTAAACAGTGCCAGGTAGACTACGAGTAGTCCCCCATTTGTCCTCAGGGGTAGTAGAGCGAGTGACACGCGAGCGCGAGTGAAAATCACCCCACGCGAGAAAAGGCGACACGCGGCGGGGAGAGAGAAAAATGACTCATTTTTCTCTCCCCCCGAGGAAAATTTCCGGGAGCAAAGGACATCTGAGAAGGCAGTCTCGTTGTTCAAACGTAAAAGCCACTGGAAACCAGTTTTAGGCCTTCGCGGCCGTTTGGGGGTAAATGGAACTGATCTGTACAAATGGTACACGCGATTTGGGGACGAAATTTACCAGTCCCGAATTTAGCTTACCATTTATCTAAACCGTGAACCCATCGGTTTGCCCATGTAAATTTTAAACAACCCACATCTCTACAGCTAGGCCAAACTCAGGCGCAAACCACGCGTTCGTGCTCGCCAAAACAGGCCGCATGCGAATTGGTCACGCGTTTCCCTGTTGATGAGGGGACACCTTCTGAAAATCTTCCTTTGGTAACCCTATTCTGAAATCAACTTTTAATGATATTCTTAGAAGGCATCAGAAAAAGTACTATTTTCGGTTCGCACCCCTCAGAAAATGTGGCAAGGATTGAGGATATGCTTTATAGTCTCTTGGGATATGATATAAAATGAAACGGTCCTATTCAAACTGCCCGGGGGTACTCCCCTATAAAAGTAACGGGGGTGCTCGTCGTACCTTTTAGGGGTTTAAATTTGTGGATTGGTACCGCTTAGGGTGCTAAAACCTAAATTGACTGCTGCCAGAGATAATACGCTTTATTAGGATAAAGATTTATGACAACACTTTCAAAAAGTTATCTGTATTACTATTAAAATTTGCAGTGCAAGTCATATAATTTGTTATTGTTGAATTAACACACCCATAAAACAAGATTCTGGTAACTTTTGAGGGTTTTCTCGAATTTTTCCGACGAGCATCCCCGTCACTTTTATAGGGGAGTACCCCCCCCCGGGTCAAACTGACTCAAATGAAAACAATCTTTTTTCTTAAGGTGTTGATATGCTAAAAATAGTTTAGCGATTTCACAATGTTTATGTGAATAGAGTTGAAACATGTATGCATATGTAGCTGTACGGAAATTTTCTTCAAACCAAATTTAAGTATTTTCCCAGATTACCCCACATATGCGAGCAAACACCCGTAAGCCTTCACTGTTGCCTGAAGATCTGAAGAATCGGATCCCATGAGATGTTTACCTCACAAGACTGCGATAACAAATCCGGGCTTTCAAAAAGTTTTTAAAGTAGAAGGCTGATGATGAATAAATAGTAAGCAGCTTTGGAACTTGCACCAAAGGCACACGTTCTTGAGGGCTGAGGCATCTTGGGACATTTTGAAATTTGGTGTCTCCACCGCCGACACCATGTTGTTTCGTCAGAATACATGCGAGACTAGAAACACATGTACCGTCGAAATGTCCCAAGCGTTTCACGACGTCGTACGGTTAGAACGTTTCACAGATCTAATCCTGTTTAAATATGCGTTCAATGTCATTCAAAACTGGAAAACGGATGCTTTACAAATTTTATTCGATGCTGCTTATTTTTTGTTAGCGGTTATGGTAGACGGAGATGGAAGTAGCCGGCTAAGGATGGCTAACTAGCCGGCTCTTTTGGCCGGATAGCGGCCCTTATCGACCCGCTTATTAACAGCCCTGGAGAAATGCAAACTGAATTTAATCTTGTCAGCCGAATGCAAACCATTTGAGAGACAGGCCTGGGTAGATTTGGAAAACTGTGCGTGACCTTTCGAAAATTTCTTGCTTAAGGTGGCTCCGTCACTAATATTGGAGCATTTAACTGCGACAAATTTTCCGTCATAACTTTTTCGTTTTTGGAGCGATGGCTCTGAAACTTTGCAAAGAACAACAGATATCATTCGGCAATAGTACGAAATATTCCGATTTCATAGATGGTAAATATTTCTTGATCATGAGAAATTAGCGCTTAAAAGGACCTTAGTGTTCAAAGAAAATCGCGTCTAGTAAAAAATTTTGCTGATATTTTTTACTGAAATTTCTGGTATGGACTTTCATTGACATAATAAATATGCCGGAGAAATTTCAGAAAAATCGTTGGAGCAGAAGTCCGTAACTAAAAGTCGCTCAAAATTCAACTGTGAAATTGTTTTGGAATTTCAAAAATAAATTACGCTCAGGTAGAAGAAGCCACCAGTTTGAGTTTTCAGGACAAGTAAATTCAATGTTTGCCAAAAATGAAAACAAAAGCTGATTGCCTATCGTGCTATTCTTTAAAAGGTACTTTTTAGTTTTAGAAGCACCATAAATTGCTCCAAACCTTGCTCTGACGTCGAATGACTTGTTCTTCGACATTTTTAAAATATCTCTCGGCAGTTTTGGTTCAAACTCCTGCTACATACATTTTGTTGTATTGCAATGCATCCTGAACGGCTTTTTCTGCTGAACGTTGCTTCCAATTCAGGAAAAAGGTGTTGGGATTGTGAGCTACTTTGTATCGAAGCTCAGATAGAACTGTCCAGCACCTTTGTTTTGATGAAAATGCGCACGAGAAAATGCGCACCTCATCCAGGGGGGACGAATGACAATGATGCCCATGTCTGCGAACCGATCTGTATAAACATGTATTGCAGAACAAACATAATAATCAAGAGAAAACTACCCATTCATTGAAGGAAGGAGTAACAGAAATTTCAGAGTTGTAAATTTATTCACGGGCATTATTCTTGCGATAATTTTATTTTGGGATGTAATTCGGAGGCAACGGGATTGTCGTTCGTCCCCCTGGGTGAGGTGTCTGCGAAACCGATCTGTATAAACATGATATGTTGAACCGAGAACAAACAAACATAATAATCAAGAGAAAACTACCCATTCATTGAAGGAAGGAGTAACAGAAATTTCAGAGTTGTAAATTTATTCACGGGCATTATTCTTGCGATAATTTTATTTTGCACTGTGATGTAATTCGGTTCACAGGCACGGGTATCATTGTCGTTCGTACCCCCTGGGTGAGGTGCGAATTCCTCGCGGAACTGCCACTCGTGCTCATTTTGTAGTCATAAACAAAGGTGCTGTACAGTTCTATCTGAGCTCTGATACGAGGTAGCGTCCAATCTCAATACCTTTTTCCTGAGTTGGAAGCAACGAACAGCAGTAAAAGTCGTTGGAAATGCGGTGCAATACATCAAAATATATGCAACAGGAGTTTGAGGCAAAACTGACAAGGGATATTTTAAAAATGTCGAGGAACAAGTCATAGCCATGCTATAGGGAGCATCAGCTTTTGTTTTCAGAATTAGCAAACATTGAATTTACTTGTCCCGAAAATTCAAACTGGTGGCTCCTTCTACCAGCTGATAGTAATTTATTCTCGAAATTCCAAAACAATTTCACAGCTGAATTTTGAGCGACTTTTAGTTACGGACTTCTGCTCCAACGATTTTTCTGAAATTCCTCTGGCATATTTATTATGTCGATTAAAGCCTATACAGGAAATTTCAGTAAAAAATATCAGCAAAATTTTTTACTAGACGCGATTTTCTTTGAACAGAAGGGTCCTTTGAAGCCCTAATTTAGCAAAATATATTTACTATCAATGAAATCGGAATATTTCGTACTATTGCCGAATGATATCTGTTGTTCTTTGCAAAGTTTCACAGCCATCGCTCCAAAAACAACAAAGTTATGACGAAACCTTCGTCACAGCTAAAAGCGCCCGTATTAATTACGGAGCCACCTTAACGCTCCCGGCTACGCTCTGTACATGAATCAAGAGGATTCGTGTGACGCGTTGAAACCAATGCAATGAATAAATTAACCAGTTCAAAGCCTCCATCTTCGCTATCTTTTCACAGCGCATTTATAGGGAACAAAAAATGATACCTCTAGAACTTTTTCTAGAGACTTAGGCCCGGTTTAAACCGGTGGAACTTTACATCTGCCGAACCTAATTATTAGGTTCGGTACATGTAAAGTTCGACGTATGAATCAATTAGGAACGGCACTTTTGTATTTGGGTCGACTCTGCCGTTCTATTCGACAAGCGGCAAAAGATCGACTTCGTTTCATACGTCGTAGTTCACATGTGCACAACCTAATGCATAAATTATGTTAGCGTATTTTTCAATATAACCGCGCACTTCTGATTTGCTATTTAGTGGGTTTTCGCGCCTGTTCTGACAGAACTCACAGAAGCGTAACGACGGTTACTGTCTGGCCCGGGGGCACTTTAGGAATTTCTGGGTGGGGATGTGCCGCTGGGAGCCTGGAACCCTTAACCTTTACCAGAGCTAGTTCAGCTGAATTTTGCCACCCTAAACTAGAGTAAACTCCCCGAATCCCCCTATCCTAGAGTAGCTGTGTACCTAGTCTAGATAAAATCTTCTACCAACTGATCAGTTTCCTGAAAAATGATACCCTATTCTAGAGCCAAACGCTCTGATTTATCTACCCTATCCTAGAGTAAACTGCTTGACAACCATACCCTTCACAGCGGCACATACCTATATAGCCCATATATGGCAGTACCCCCCCGGGCTGTCTGGTTACCAGCATTCACGTTGTAGATTTTTAGACTGAAACTGGACAGCTCAAAACGATCTTCCAAAAAGTTGCTTTTCTTTATATCCATGAATAAATCGTAATATAATTTATTGCGTTACTTTATTTTGTCCAAATATCACGATCACGATCTCCTCACCTGTCTCCTTGCCATAACAGAGCACAAATCACATGAAAATCAAAACAAGAATTTCCAGGCTTGGTGGATTTTACTTTTTTCAGTTTATTTCCCTATTTTAAGCAGTAAGGATGATATTTCTTGTCGCCACGAATTAGGTTCGGCACATATAAAGTTCGACCGTCTGAATCAACAGTCGAACAGTAATAGTTTGGGTCGACCTAAATAGGTGTTAGGTTCGGCACAAGTAAAGTTCGACGTTTGAACCGGGCCTTACAACACTATACTTACCCTATTCTCTTCTCGCTCTCGACTTTGGTTTCTTCTGTGAACAACTGTCTTTCCTTCGAGCAGGACTTCTTTCTCCATTTCTGTCATTTTACGCACAATTTATGACTAATTAATCATAGAGAAATTACTGCAGCGGGCGTTCCTGAGTTCAGGGACGCTTCTTTTCTCTCGACGAGATAATCACATGAAGTCTAATGTACAGGGTTCATTGTGACGTAATTACATTTTGCTTGTCAGCATACGAGTGAACGGCCCTTGGGACCTCCTGTAGGAAAGAAACTCGTTATGGCAAGAACTCAGTAAAGTAATTGGCGGCTATTACTTGGAACAAGATTTCTGATACCTTAAGATCCCTAAGTACATTGTCAGCTTTTAAAAAAGCAGTCCGACAGCTATAAAGGTTCTAGCTAATTCTATATAATATCTATGTTCTATTACGTGATCGGGCTTTTTATTGTAAATCACGGCTATCTCAAGTAATTTTAGGCTTTATACTGCAAATAGGTTATTGGATTTCCCTTTCTTTCTCTATTATTTTATTTATTTGTTTTGTTTTTCTTGTTTTTCTTTTCTCCTCGGCTTATTTATTTGTCAGAGGCCTAACCAACCTCTTTAAACCCGAGATTAAATAAAGCTTCTTTCAAGAGAGGCAATGGCGTCGAAGTAGAACTAGGGTTCTTCAATCCCGTAATCCTGACCCAAAATTTCGTTCAATCCATTAATCCCAGTGGCTATTTTGGCATCCTACCTCCCGCGCATACTTTCAATCCCGAACTCTCGCCTCGATATTTTGCAAAAATTTTGATATATTTTTTTTTCCCGAATTCCGCGCTTCAAAGGGAAATTTCAGACCCCGAAAAACCTATTAGCACCCTCATTAATTAAACCCCTTTATGACAGTAATCTGAACGTGGCTCAAGCCTCATGTCATGCAAATAAGTTAGGATTTCACAATAGAGAATGTAGACAAAGTCTGAGTATATCTAACCGATGTTGAAAAGGCGTCAAAAGGCAGGTTTCTTAAGCCCGAGATCAGACGCTCCAAAATCGCAGTAACGAAGGAAAACCAAAGGACTGGAGAAAAAGACTGAGGAGCGAGGAGAGGGAAAGGAGGAGAAGAGAAAAAAGCAATGGTTGCAATCTCAGTTTTTATAATATCTACTTTGGAGATAGTTTTTGGCCGAAAAAAGCTGTTGGACGCAAAAGGTCCATTTGGCGATAACTTTATTAAAAATTTGGCTAGACATTTATGATATAAAATGATGTGACTGTATGCATTTTAAGCTTGGTTTTTCGTTTATCTTATTCAAGATTTCATTCCTAGTGTAATCAGCGTATAATTGTTTTTCTCCCCTTGACTTAAATGTAAAATATATTTGATTTATTTCTTTTTTCAGTTAGATATGAGTGCATGTCTGTGTTGTGTTTTTTTGTGTTTTTCCGACCCAAACAATTATAAGCCTTATAACTCCGCTGGCTGGTTCAAGCAAATCAAAAGGCCTTTATCTTTCGATGTAACAACACGATTTAATCCAATCCACTAAAACAATTCCGCAACAAGTAGAAGACCATACCGTCCATACTCCAACAAAGTTAGAACTCAAGACGTTTGTTACTCTTTGCATAGTATTTCTTTGAGCACAACCCTAATCTGGACGTACGTGGCTTAGGCCTTATTTGATCACTTCTAATGAAGAGGGTAAAAAAAAAGAAGAAAGCAGAAGACCATACTACAAAAAAGTTAGAAGGCGTTTGTTACTCTTTCATATTGCGAAAGCGGGGAAAAGGGTCCCTTACCTTCTCTCCCCAATCCCCCTCCTTTTCCCCTTCCTCCCTATCCCCTACCTCTTTCAACGCCTGCTACGCAGGCTACCTCCTAGTTATTTGACTCGAGATCGGCTCGAGAGTAGAGAGGAGAAGTCGTTACGTCACGTTGCCATGGTAGCAAAACGTCTGGATGACAACAAACCGAAAACGTGAATTCACACTGTTTCAAACTTCATCGACCTTATTCAATTTCATTTAAAATTTGTCAAATATTGGCGAAATTTTCTGGGGTTGAATTCGAAAGTATTGAAAAAGAAAAAGAAAATTTTTGTGTTGTGTTCACCTACTTTATAAAGCGGGAGCATGAAACTAGGAAGTTTCATGTAGCAGTCGTGCAACAACGGCTAAGAAATATAAAAAAGCTTGATGCCCGTGCAAAGTTGTTGTTTTGCTAATCTAAGACTGTTGTTTTTTCCCGTAGTTCTCGTTGCCGTCGTCGGCGTCGCTGCATAAGCTCCATTGTTGTGATCCAAAAATTTTGCTTCCATGGTAACCTGACGTCACACTTCAGTGACACATGGCTGCTTGAATGGCAGAATGCAACTCAAATAATAGCCAGCCTTATGGCTTTGCATTCATATATCTTTACAATGAAATAGGAATGTCAACTGAGTTTTTTTTATTCATATGATTTCACTTAAATGTTGTTTATATATAAAAAGTGATTCTAACAGAACAGGATAGAGAAATAAATCACTATCACAGGTTTCGAACAGACTCTTGGATCCAAAATTCAACACCTTTTCCAGACTTTTTCAAAAACAATAACTATTTTTTCCAGACTCAATGTTATCAAGTGAGTGATCAATAGAAAACTTGAAAAAAACCGGAACCAAGCTTTCCTCATGAAGCACTGCAAAGATACGGTAACCACCGAGTGATAAGTGGATAAGAAAATTCTTACACCGGCTTAACACATTCCGAGACTGAATGTTTTGACTACTAAGAAAGACATCATTTAGTTTTTAGGCGCTTATGGTAGTTTGAAGAAAAATTCTACAAACTTGTTACCATTTTGCCAGATCTTTGTTTTCGAGCATTTTTCTAGGTCTGAATAACTTGGATTGCAAAATTCAACACATTTTCAAGACTCTGTACAAACCCCTACAGTACAAAGAAGTTTGACAAGTTTGTATGAGTTGAGAACACGCTCTACATGCACTTAGCCAAGTGTACTGACATTATGGAGAAATACAAGTCTCACGAATTCCTTTTTTGTTCAGGTCCCTGGTGAAGGCGAAAGAAAATCGCAATTTCCATGCTACGTAATAGTTCGTGTTATTTTAAGCAACAGTTGGGTTAGTAGTCTTTTGGTATGTTGTAATGAAATGCTGCAAATGCTGCTGTTATTGTAGGACAGTCAAACCCCGCTTTACGGACACCCGCCCAGTTGATACGGACAGCCGCGCCCAGTTGATATGGACAATGGCCTCATCATTAACTATGGACAGTTTGCTTTGTCCCTGGGGAAAGAAACCCCATACATTTTCTCTAAATTCAACTCACTTTATACACACACCCTGTTAATATGGATACTTTCTTTGGGCCCCTCAGTGTTCATAGTAATGGGGTTTCTGACTGTGAAGGTAAACTTTAGATTCGAGTACAAAATTAATTTGCCTTTGCAATCTAGAGTCAATAGTAATAAATTATTATGTCCCCAGCATTCTGTCTTGATGAAGACCAATACATGTCATTTATGCCAGTTCAAGCATCCCCGCATAGATTCTTTTAATGAATTGATTATAAGAAAATTGAATATGCTAGTCATCGCCAATACCAAAACCTCCCGGGGAGGGTGGGGGGACTTCCTAGAAGTAGGCTAATGGGCATGTGCCAGTGGATGGCGTCTATAATTTGGCCACAGAAATGACTATAATGGGATAGGAGGTCTGAGAGGCCAGCGGCACATACCCAGCAAAACCTAATCGAAGTAAGTACCCCCCTGGGCAAAAACTGTTGCCTATAAACCCTACCATTTATAAGCACCCCCCTCTCCAGTTATAGGCTCATCTACCTGTAAACAAAAAAAATACTTCCAACAAATTATAAGCCTCATTCCAAATGTATTGGAGCTTAAACTTAAAACTAGTAAATGCAAATTGTGTTTTGATCAGCTCTGCTACAGCTTGTTTCAACGTGATTTTTCCATTCCAAGGCTCCTCGGATATACCCCCCTTTTTATAGGCCCACTCCTAAACCCCTTATGAAGATGTATTAACCCCAGGGCTTGTAAGTACCAGTATCAGATTCATTTCTTCAATTTAGCATATGTAAGTGAGTTAACATATAGTATATTTTAAAAATAGGAATTTTATCTATTTAAAATGTGAAGATCTTCCCATCTGACTGAAAACAGGGAAGTTATACTGTCAAACCTGTCTACAACTGTCACCCTTGGGAAATGGCAAGGTAACAGTTACATACAGGGTGACCGTTATACACAGGTCAACTTTGTAGAAAATATAAGGCAAGTGAAAATGTTGAGAAGTTTTGCCGCAACCTTAATATACAGGGTCACAGCTATATACAGGGCCATTAAAATATAAAAGTTTTGATTGTAGTTTAAAATTCTTTGCTCATTATACATGCAGGAATAAGAATAAGAACTTGAATTTGATACTAGTGGTGGCAATGGATTCAAGTTTCAAATAATTGGTTCGTAAAAATCATAGAATCTATGGGGTTTGCTTGACCTGACCTGACTGTAGGGGGGGGGCGACTGCTGTGAAAGGTGATTATCTTCACAAGAGAGACAATGTTGTGAAAACTTTCCTGGTCGCAGAGGTTTTCTGTCTCCTTTCTAGGTACTTCTGCTGAATTGCGTATTCTAATCTTGTGGCCTCTAATGTATCCTTATGGAACACGCAATAAGAAACCTTTTGTTTGACATGCAGAAAAGAGAAGGGTGGAATAACATTGTTTAGACATAAACTTGCATTTTTAGCAAGATTTAAAACTTTTTTTTGGTAAACGTCAATATTAATTTTTTTTCACTTAACTGACCTTGATCTTCTGTCTGATGGATTCAAAACTCATGTTACTATTAAAGTGTCACAAATGGAAATTCAACAGTTTTGCTTCATGTGCAAAGACATTTTTTCCACAGAACTGTTGTGCTTCCAGCAGTAACAGTTCACTATAATATATAATAACATTTTCAAGAGTAAAAACAGTCATTGTCCTCTGCCAAACGCTGTGATTCTTTCTTCCTGATACTTTAGTATAAACATAAAATAAGTTTCCGGCAGCCAACACAGTTCTTGATCTCGCAAAATTTTGTGGCACATTCTAGACAGACTTCACGATCACTGTACAAATCAAAATAACTAGCTGCATTCCTTAACTTTTAAATAGTTGACCTCTTTTCTGCAAAAAATTGCCGAAGAATAACAACTTGACAGATTCCAACAGAAAGGATAAGACAAGCTTCGCCAATGGACCACCACTGTATTCTTTCATTTAGATACTCGGCCATATCGCGTCCTTGGGACTCACGTAAGCGATGGTGTGTTTGGTAGTCGGTTGCAATCTGGATAAATAGAAAACAAATAAAAAAGATTCTTTTCAGTATGTATGTAAACAAAATAAATTATTCAATAAGTACTCTACAACAGACCAACTACTATTATAACAGCTTGTTGCATGCAATATTCAACAAAATTATTACAAATTCAAAGAAACTGGTCCAGAGACTAAGCTAAAATGTCACAACAGAACAAAGCCATTTTGTAAAATGGAGGGGTGAAAAAACACAACAAAAAGACAATGGCAAAGTTTGTCACTGGAACTCAGACTTTGCAGTGTACTAATAAGTACATGTATTTTGCTAAGTAAGAATAAATGTTTGTTGAACTATGGAAGGGACACAATTAAAGGAGCTGGGTTGTGGTTGTCTAGTTCATTTTGTTATTAATGCCAATTACATGTCCTTATTTTCTATGGAGCTTGAGAAAATTAATTGTCTCTGTCTACAAACAACAAAAGTGAACTTTGAAAAACTGTTAGGCCGATAAGTTTCCAAAAACCACAATAAATTGCAGTCTGCTTCAATCGTCTTCAAGTTTGTCCACCCCAGCGTGCAAAGAAAGTAATGTTAGCCAGCCCAGGGCTAATGGATTTTGCTATCGGGCCAGTGAATTCTGTTTTTAACTTGCCTGACGGGGCAGGTGATATTTTTTGAGTAATTTGAATAACAGAAGAACTGTGAAATCAATTCTGCTCGTCAAAAAGCTTTTGGGGCTAGTTGAAATGATGTCTGGGCTAGTAGTAAATGCTAGCTTCAGCTTGCCTGAAAGGCAAGCTGTAAAAATGATTTTCTTGGCACCCTGATCTACCCATGATTCCTTTTGTATTTGCCATGTTATTTATACCTTCTTTTAATGTTTTGAGCTGTTATTTTTATGATTAACTCAATTTGGTGGTCGTTCGCACTTTTCAAATTTTGATCAATTTTTTGACACAGATCTTTTAATGAGTATAAATAAACAAACATTAATAAGAGCTGGCTTGAGGGCTCAGCCTTCATGACTGGGAGCACAAAGCAACATGAGAAAAAATATCTTTTTCAAAAACTGAGTTTTCTGCGCTTGTTTGTTTTTTCTTTCTTTAAGTGACTGCTTAATTGCTTTTACATGTCATTATATATATATTAATATATTATATTTGATTTCAGCTGAAGTAGAACTGCTGTCAGTGCTCAATAGAAGGACTAGAGGCAAGAATACCAGAAGTACAATGTTTTATCAACTGAAGATTTGACTACTAAGGCATTTTATTACTATATAGTTTCAGACTACACAATGGTGTAGCACTCTTCTTCTATTATATCTGAAGAGTACCACACTATCATGTAGTACGAAACTATTACTAGTACATAATAATTTAAAGAGGACAGACGGCAAAATGATGTTGCTCAAAATATCTAAAAGTCTAAATGCCGTAATTGTTCGTCAGTAGGATGCCTAATATTTGTGCAATTCCACAATATATAATAAAGGTTGACACCTGGAAGTTAAAGAATGCAGGTCTACAATGCAAATGCACTATATTGTAGAACATCTCTTGAACAAACCTTAAGGTCTTCATGTATAGTAACACAAGCAGTCTCCATCTGTGTCAGAGCTGTATGGTGGGCCCCCATTTCCTTCGTTAGTGGTGTTTCGTCTCCAGCTTGGAAGTCAAAGTACACTACCTTGTGACTAAATGTCGAGAATTCATTGCTGAAGCAGAACTTATAGACTCCCTCACTTTGTGCTGTGAAGGAGTAACTGTCATACTGTTTCTTTTGAACAGTGTACAAAGTTTTACCACTTTCATCATAAAGAATCACATCCACATCATAGTTTCCACCACTGATGACCTAAAGAGGAAAATGAATGCCTATAAGAGTTTTTTCATCCAGCAAAAATAAAAGAAAAAGAAAAGAAATGAAAAAGGAGTCTTTGACTTATTTTCAGTTCGCAGTCCTGCCTGAAATGTTTCGAATTGAATGACATGAATCATAATTATTCTGAAAATATGAAAGTGAACATGATCTTCGCAGTGGAATGAACAACCTAAGAAGTTGAAAAAGGAACCTGAAAAAAGTCAGGCTTGACCAGGAATCGAACCCTCACCTTTGCCACGGATAGAGCATAGCATCCAGCCATCACAGAGGTCAGGGTTTGATTCCTGGTCAAGCTTGAATTTTTTCAGGTTCCTTTTTCAACCACTTAGGTCTTTCATTCTACTGCAAAGATCTGGTTCACTTTCACAAAATGGTTCTGTTAACTTTTTAATGGTAAGCAATATATTAGAATCAACCTAGGTAAAAACATTTTAACCTGAATGTAACGTGTATAATTATGTTTTCCATTCTATTTGTGCCCGCAATTATCTAAATGACAGTTGGGTTCATCAAAAAAAAAATTTTTAATTCAGCTCCAATTATATCCAGTATTAATAAAGTAGGAGGCTCTTCATAAAAAGCCAGAGGTGATTTTTCAAAATTGCGAATAAAAGCGACTTAAACACAAAGTAAGCGGCGATAAATCCAATTTTGAAAATCACGAGTGGCGATCAATCGCCATATCACGTACAAATTGAGATTAATTATTAACTACCCTTACAGTTTGTATATTTTCATCAATAAAAAACCTAAGCTGAAATACCACTGCTCTAAGCCAATCAAATTGCAGAAATTTCTCATGTAGTAGTATAATCAAGTTAACCCAATCAACACTGGATAACGTAACGATCCAATCCAACGTTCCCTGTTTGGAGGTAAACACCTTCTAAAATCTCTCATTAAAAAGAGTATAGTCTTTAGCCATTAGGCATTTGTTTATGTAAACGATTTTCAGTCGCCTTAAGAAAAAAAATCTCGCTCTTGAATTCTGAACTTATGATAAGTAAGCTGTTGAACTGACCAATACAAAGACAAAACGTTAATGAGTGTTTGTTGAAGCCGGTACATTTCAGCACGTGTGGGAGCTAGTTAAGTTCTTGGTAAAAGGAAGACAAACAGCTTGGTTTCCAAGAAATTGCAGTTCTCACATATAACATGAATCAAGTGCTAACCTGAAATTCCAGCGTTCCTTTGATGTCTTTCTTTAAATCCTCATAGAAACACTGTCTAGCGTTGTCTTCCAATTCGAATGTTAACTCAGTACATTGAACTACAACCAGGGTCACAAAGGCTACAATTAAACCAAAATAAAAGCTACTGCACCAATTCATAGCGAACTATGTGAAGACTGTTTCCAAGGCGGATCAGAGCGAAATCAAGTTTAACAGACCGTCTATACGTCGGCTCTTTACCACGTAAAATCTTTAAAATATTTTGAACAAAATGGCGCTGATCATGAACCATACGTGGCAACAAGACCTCAAACACTCATGGGGCATGTCTGCACCAGACTCCTACTAAAAGGCGGTCAGAGGGGAAACTGGCAATAGTCATATTTTTTCGCGGGCAAATTCCCTTGAGGGTTCGGAAATGAACTACGGATGTCGATGACCGCTTTCGTCTGTAAGCCAAGTACTTGAAAAATTTCTTTCTTTTTTGGTAAGAAAATGCTTCTTTTGGAGAGAAAATGGCCTCTTAAACTACCACGAAGTTATCTGGTATGAGTGTTGGGATCAGCCAAGTGAATTTCGACGCTCAGGTAGGCATCTGTGACTTGACAAATTTAAGCTAAAGTTGAAGTTTGCATGCATCGATGATGAGGCGATATCACTTTCTTTCACATAATGTTTTATATTTTCCGTCTTGGAGGTCTGCTAACTCAGGGTAATTCAAACATCGAAGACAAATTTATGTGCTTCTCTTTTTCGATAAAACTATTTGGTTCTTGGGCTTTTATTGTAGCGTGTGTAGCAGCTTTCTGCAGTGTGTTTGTTCACGTATATGATATACCGACTTTGTTGACCTAATTACAGTATTTACAGTACACAAGATTCTTTCTTTAATTTAACTCGATACGGCAACAGGTTTTAATATAAGGCGAGCTTTTATTTGCCGATAAAGTCGTTCAGCCATACCGATCGATCATCAAACAGGTTCTCGTCTAGTCTTAGGAGATTTTTCTCAACACGATTTGTGTTTTATTTATTAGTTTGACTTCACCCCTGCGTTTATGCTACAAAAATAATAGTGAAGTTTGCATGTGATTACTATTCGCATCTGTCATAAATCATGCTAATTTTCCCTTTTTCATTAGAGTTGGTTTTCTGTGCACGTACTTTTATTGCTTTCACTCTCAAATTGCAGGCAAGATTTTGAATGTCAATCAAAACTCATTTGATTTCTGCACTTACTTGCATTTAAGCTTACTTGTAGTAATCTGAATTGAGTGGAATGTTGTGGCACCTGCATTTTTAACATCTGTGTCTTGTGTCTTTTAATCAGTAGATAGCTAATTTCATGTAACGAAATTTTAATGACAATAGTTTTATAGACAACTGTTAAGTTTCTTGGCAAAAAGTGCTCTGGGAGTTTTTTCACAGTTATAAAAGTCACTCTGATTATTTTTTGGGAAACTACAGACTCAAACAATTCTTCCTACATCATCCACAGGTAACAGGTCATTTTGCCCAAAGTTGTTTTGCCTGGAGTTAAGTCAATTTGCCAAATGTTTAGTTGTCGTTCTTGAACCCTTATGAAAGGAATAAGCAGGAAAAGAGAGTAACATCACAATCATGTGGTCAACAACTTTTTCCAGTCAAAACTTCATTGCAATTGTGGAGTCTTTCAGTATCTTGAGTGTGATTATTGACAAAACTAAGATCATTCAGATCGCTGGACCTTTTTTAGCAATCACAGCAATAAAATCCAATCCTAAAAAACATCTCTGATAAGCTGTGTTGTAGAGTGTTGTTTATCATTGGGCGAAGTGACTTATATCTGGGTGAAGCAGCTTCAGGCAAATCACTTTTTGGGTGAAGCAACCACAATTCCATCCACATCACAGTCATTACCACTGTCACTTTATATTTTTGAGAGACACAAATTTCTTGTGTCAATCTTGCTTTGATGTTGAACATCTTAATCAAAATTGATGCAATTGTCAATCGGCTAGTTCTGTCTTTCGGTATAAGTTATGGAGGAATTTCACAGATACTCGTAGCTGTGATCATTATGGAATGATGACTGGCTTTAATTAATTCCCAGCATGCTTTCTCAGTAATGGACCCTTTTAGCTATCCACCAGCATATGTTGACAAAAGGCAAATTCCCTTGTGAAAATCACATGGTGTGAATTGGGAAAATAAAACCTACTAAGCTAAAAAGGTCCATTCAAACAAGCATCCAGTAAGAACTGTACATGTGTTTTTACCACTGAGACTTGATAGCTCGATCTCTTATAATTTCTGAAAAGCGAGCGAAGCAAGTTTCAACAAGGTTGTGCAACTACTGAGCGAGCGAAGAAGTCATGAAGTTGACTTCTTTAACCTAAATGGATTTGAATCAGGTATGAAAGGTCTTTTAAAATGGCATATCCAACCAGGGAAAAAAAGGACTGTTGTAGTTAATTTTTTTATCTCAGGAAATTTTTATTTTTCTTTTGTTTCAATGTCATTAGCATACATTACCATACCCAAAAGCAAAAGAAAGAAAAAATTACCTGAGATAAAAAATTTACTACAACAGGACTTTTATAAAGTCTATATTGTTACCAGTGCACCCTTATGTTTGCTCAAAGGTGCTAGAAGATGAAGAAGAAGCAGCTTTGGAAAAAGAAGATCAAGAAAGAGAGAAAGAGGTACTAGCATGTAACATGCTGCTGTTGACTTGTAACTATAGAGGGGCTGCAGGGAAGATTTGTTCATCATCATCAAACTTTTTAAAAAAATGTTCTCTTGCTAAGAAATTATGGATCTTATCTAAGTTAGGGACCTCTCGGCCAAATATGAGTCGACACTATCAGCCGATAAGCGGTTGACCTTTGGTGGAATATCAGCCAACACTCAATCAAAATGTTGATCGACTATCAGTTGACATGTTGGTTGAGTTTGAGTGGATATGTTGGTTTATATCATTTGGCCAAATGTCAGTCAACATGATAATAATAATAATAAACTTTATTCAAGTTTCGTGTAACTTTAGTATGGTGTTGCTAATTGGAGCTACCGTAACATAAATGGATCATTTTACGTTTCTGAGAAATTGCCCACCTACCCCTCCCCTAAGCCAACTACTAAGTAAGAACTAAATGTTAATGTTGGTGTAGGGGAGGGGTAGGTGGGCAGTCTCCGAGACTTCTAAAAAGTTTTAATACTGAACAGTGGACATAATATAAAAAAGTAAAAATACCAGTAGATACATAACCCGTATGTAGCGTGTATAGCAAAGTATTTTACACTTTACGTATTAAGTAGTTTACATTTTTAATTAGAAATTTACCTTAGTGTTTGCATTAAGTTTACCTTTGTGTTTTTTTAAAGATCCGAGAGTTGTTAAACAGTGAACTTGATGATGGTCTTTTGGAGGATGACAATGCATCCTTCTCATCTCATGACCTCAGAAGTTCAGGGTATAGCCGAGATACACCTTACTCCGATGATTTCACTGAGCAAGAACAACAGACAATCTTGAATGGACATGATCCTAAGAAACTCATTCCTTCTGAGAGAGGTGCATTTGAGCGACCTCCTCCACTAATTACACAGCGTGCCTTTCATTTCATCAATGGATCAGGACAGAATGATGATTCCAATTCTGGAATGCTGATTCAGCAGCACAATAATTATGATCAAGAACATCAGGAAATAGACGGTTATAATCATCAAGGTTATTATGAATACAGAGAGGAGGAGAGTCCTTTTGATGGTCAAGTTGATGAGTACTCACAAAATTTTCACCAGCAAGAAGGTGGCTCAAATTATCGAACATCACCGATAGGTGATGATGTAGATAAGGCTTATGAACAATATGGAAATTATCACCCTCATTTTGGAGTACAGAGACAATTCCCTTCACACCAGGAGGCACAAAATCAGCATTATCATCAGTCTCAATACCCAGCTGGAAATTTTAGCAAACAAATAAATGTGCCTAGTGGTGATGATTTCTATGGAGATTATGGTGGTTATGATGAAGGTGAAGGAACCATCAGCCCTGATCAGAATGTCCATGATGACGATGCTGACAACACAAATGTGCCGAATCATTATAGAATGGATACCCTTGGGAATTATCAAGTTCAATATTATGCACAGCATGAACCAACTTCACGCATTCATGACAGAGGTTCTGACAGGCATGTTACTGAAAGAAATGATATTTCAACTGGGTATTCAGGGAGTGGGACACAAGACGTTCAACTTCAGATATTATACAAAGCACGTGGCAGAAAAATTGAAGAACTGACTAGAGAGTTGGAATCCCAAGAAGATGAAATGACAAAAGAGATACGTGTTTTGAATCATCAGATTGCACTGATTAAAGGTATGAATAACCAAAAACAGCTTCATCCTCCAAAAAGCAGGCAGTGTGTTAATGTAAATGTGACAATTTTGTACACCTAGACGTCAGAGGAAAGGATATGTTGAGTTAAATTATTTGCCTCTTGTACATATGTGTATGAACTTTGATTCTGTGCCAAGAAACTACACTATAAGAGAGGACTGAAGAGGTCTTCAGACACAAAAAAATGACTCAAATCCGTATGATTTCATTTTGGGATTGGACGACAATTTTTTCAGTACAAACCAAGTTAGAGCGATTTTCATATGACCTTGAAAAATGGTTTCGGTAAGTGTTTGTTGTTTGTTTTATCAGCCAATGGATGAAAAGATCAAAACGTGGCCTCTTCGTTTTCCCGCCAAAGAAAACCCTAATATGGAGAAGGCATTGTTTGATTGGCCAATCGTATTGCAGTATGACGTCAAAGTGAAGTATCAGTTGATTTCTAGAAAGTTCTCGGGCATGAAGTTTTTTCAGCTGAGCATTCGCTTTTAACCAACCAAAAGCCACATGTGTTTGTACAGGGTTGTCTGAAAGTTTTGAAGGAGATGGCTGAGTTTTCAAAGTAAGTGGCCAGTCCAGGGATATTTTAGGTAAAAAACGCCATCTGTAAAGAAATACCAAGCAGAGTAGCCAGCCAATACTAACCAAGTAGGCGACGATTTTCACCTGCAGCTGGCTACTTTTGATATGTATCTGTTCCATAAACCAATCAAATCGCTCTATTTCCGTTTTTTTGTTCTTTTTTTGTTTGCACATTTTCATTTCAAGGTCATGCGAAAATCGCTCTAATAAGTTCTAGTGTCTGGTTTGTCTAGTGTGTGGGGTGGGGGCATTTTCCTCCATTTGAAAGATTTATTTTGGTCCTTTTGTCCCTTAAGCTTAACTTTAATTCAATTTGCCGCAATCCTTAGATGAACGTGATGGGCTCTCAACGAGTCTTGAGCAGTCACAGAAGATGGTGCAGACATGCAATACAGAACTGAACAACCTAAAAGGCCAACTAGCTGCTGCTTATCAACAGATCAGTGCATTACAAGAGAGTAAAGAAGAGGTTGGTACTGCTTTTTCAGATTGTGATGATGTGTAATTGATAAGCTGCAGTGATTGGTTAATGAGGTCAAGGTGTGCAATAATCTCTTTTGGCAGAAACCCATAAGAAATAATTTCTTATGGGTTTCTGATGATGATGAGATAATTATTATCTCATCATTAGTATCTTCCTTTAGTGGGTAGTTAATCACCTAGATATTCATGCAGGCTTTCTGTGCCAGTATAGTGAATTTATCTTTTCAGTATTACCAGTTTAAATTTTTATGACCCAGAGGGAAAAATTGGCTCTGAGATATCCCAGGGTTTGGTATGAGAGAAACAAAACCTGAGGCTTCCATAGAGCTTGGCATTTAATGCAAGTTCTGTACAAAGACGAAGATTTCCCTGTTGCCTAAAGGCAAATGTTGAGTGTAAGTCATCAGTTGCCACTATAGAGTTTGTTATTCTACAGAGTGCAGCCCTGGCTCCAATTGTTAGCAAGGCAGATAGTTCTATCCCCAGGATAAATCACATTCCAGTGGATAAGTGTTAGGGAAACCAATAGCCTTGTGCCATATACGGAACTTAACTTCTGATTAAGTTAATCTGCAAAGCTACTCCAAAATCCTTGTTCCGGGTGCCCACCTGATCATGAGTGTGTACCAGGATTTGAGTACATGCCATGATAGGACTGTTAAAAATGCTATTGTCAATTTGCCAATCAGGTTGATGAGAAATTCAAAACACATTTTACAATGTAATAATTTATGTAATGTTTAGTTGAGTATGTTGGGTGTCCAAAACAAGGATATCGGCACTGCTTCGCAGACATTACTAACCAGGGTTAAATTGCATGTATGTCCTCTGTGATGCAGGCTAGGAAACCAATTAATTATTGCACTATCCACTGGGTAGAGGGGTTCTTTTGTCGATAGCCTCACCCAACTTTTGAACTACATTGTGTGTGCTGGGACCTATATGATAAGGAGCCAGACAACTACAAAAGCACAGTATTATTATCATGGAAAACGCAAAGGAGTTTTGCAAACCGTTGTATCTTTCCAGGTTATCAGTAAACTACATGTAGCTGAGACAACAATAGACAGTTTAAACCAACAGCTTGTGGAACTTAGTCGTTCAGAGTCTTTGACAAGGGCTAAGGAACAGCATGAAAGTGTGGTTAATGTGATGAAAAGAAGACATGAGGAGGAAGTCCTAACTCTTAAACAGAAGCTTGATGAAGCAGTTTTGTCAAGAGACCATAAGGTGCCCTTTCTTAGTACTTTTTGAGTATTAATATTTTCTTTGGTGCTAAAGTGCTCATTCATGTTTCAGGGGTAAAGTTTAGGGCTAGACATGTTGTATATGAGGTTGTATCTGAGTGATTTAATTTTAATCATGCAGACCAAAAAAACAAGGCTTCTAAATTATTCTTTGCTTTCATTTTGAGAATAAATGTAGTTTAAATCCCAGTGCATACACTAGTTCTAACTTGGCTTTCAATTTGTAAACTAGCATGAAGAAGCCAGTCATTTGAGAGATGAACTCGTTGAGAAAGCAGAAATGATCAACTCATTAACAAAGAGTTTAGACTCCAGTCAGAAGCAGTGCCAAGAAATACTGAAGTCAGGTTTGTATTCATTATACCTTTTCATTCTTTGACTGTGACATCCCTTTAACTTATGGAAAGCACTAGTCAATATAGTAAGCTTGGGACATTCCATTTTTATTCTGATCCCCCCTATGGATGAGTATTCTTGGTAGATAACTATAACTAGCAGGAATCTATTGTCAAAGGGACAGACAAAAATATTAGGGGGGTAGGAAAGGTTTTCTCTACGGGTTCCGAGAAAAAATTGTGGTGGTAGGAATCTGCTCATCCACAGGAGGCAGTGGACAAGGGGTTTGGGAAAAAAATTGGACATCCCCTTATTATATCATGTTTGTCTAGTTCATGCAAGTGTGCAGCTGTACTTGCAAGTGTATTCATTGTTTTGAGTGTTTTATTTGCTATAGGAACAATGACAGAAATTAACCAGTTACGAATTGCTCTTCAAGAGAGTGCAACTGCCAGGAACATTGCTGAAGGACAGTGCATTTCTCTGAAGGTAAACTTTGTATTGAAATGCTTCAGAAGAGTATAAACAGGTCATAAGTAAAAAAGAATATTATTTTTCATGAAATTCATCAGACTTACTCAGGTTTTTATTTTATGAAATGGATGTGAAGCATGAGCTGTCAGAGCTTAAAGAACAAGTCAAGATGTATGAGAGTGCCAGTCGACTTGGTGTGGGGTTAGGATCCAGTTTCCAAGACAGTTCCTTTGCACATCTCACAGTAAGAAACTTGAACAAAGAGAACTGGAGCACGCCAAAGTCTCAGTAAGTACGCAAATTTTTTATCCATAAGAAGGGCAGGAATGTGTTTTCTTGTTGATTATATTAGTCACAGTTAAATAAGACATATTGACCTCTGGGACTGGTGAACCTTAGCTTTTCCAATGTTTATGTGTGCAGCATAAGTAAGGCACATGACATGTAGATTCATGCACATACTGTTCAGCTATTAATCATAACTACAACAAAATTCTCAAATCTGATTGGCTATCATTATTGTACTGATTGCAACACTAATAGGACAGTGTTAAAGGACAGTATAGGACATGCCTACGTAGTTGGACAGTACGTGCAATCATGCAAGCACGCTCTAAAAGGGCTTTTTTTTTCACTGCTAGCAAAAAACTCTTGGAATTTCTTGTGCTTTGATTTAAAAAAAGCGTAAAAAATCACAAATTTTGATATAGTCATGTTCACCCACTGACTCATTCATGATAGACTACACTAATACAATGTAGCAAACTAGAAATAATGGTAACAGAACTTTGTGTTGTCCAATTTGGTCTGTAATCATACTTGTGATTAGACAAATCGGACTCCTGCTATGTGCAGCGGTCGTCCAATTTTTGTTAATGACTCATATGATTACAGACCAAATTGGACTCCACTCAGTCCTATTACCCATTATTTCTAGTTTGCTACATTGTATTAGTGTAGTCTATCATGAATGCGTGAGTGGGTGAATGTGACTTACAGGGTATTTGAGAAAGAGTGAGTAAATCTTATGGAATCAGTTAGTACCCCAGTGGAGTGTTCACTTTTGCTTATTGATGGGGGGAATTACTGTATCTACAGCTAAGAAATTGCAGTTACTGCTTTTTGTTAGTGAGCCAATAGTCGTAAGCCAGTAGCCAGTTAGTCAATCAATAATTCATTCAATCATTTGGTCAGTCAGTCAGTCAGTTACGTCATTACATATATATATAATTATCTTTATCATGCCCTTTCTATTGTATTTTGTGGAGTTGAAAACAGTTTTTGTTTGCATTGTCAGTAAAGTGCCTTTGGAAGAGACAGTCACTGAATTGAGGAAAGAACTTGAGCAATGCCTGATCAATAACAAAGCAAAAAGGGATCAAGTATTTAACTTGGAGACAGAACTGAACACTGTAAAGAGTCAACTAAAGGAGCAGGAATCAAAAGCTCAAAGAATGGAAGTGATCGCTCAGGAACATGAGGTGGGGTATTCTAACACAAGCGTACATAGGTGTGTTTAGTTGACCAAAAACAAGAAAATATAAAAATACGGCTGATCATCATTTTCTGCCCAGTTCCCAGTTGATCAATTGACTTTATTTACCTCAAGATTTAGATAAAAAAATAAATAAATAAACTAGAAATAATGATAGAAAGAGAAGATTTCTCATAAAAACCTATATAAGACTAAGTGTCATAATGCTGCTTATTCTGTGGTGCCAAATAAAGCTAGGAATTAAGAATATTGATTGATGTTTCTTTCTGCCTATTAAATCAAGGTAAAATCTCAGGATCTGGCCAGAAAAATTCAGGAAATGGAGAATGAAAAGAGAGATCCAGGTAATGACTATGAGTGCTGCAGGTGGTTTTTTGTATGCAATGCACAGTCCTCATACTCCTCAATGATATTAAGCTGAGTTGTCGTCTCAGTTAAAAATCTTGGGAGAAATGAAGGTTTGAGGTAAGTCATCCCCCTGTCCTTGATCCTTCCCTCCTTCCCTTATTTCCATGCTCTTTTCACATGTCTCCATCATCCTCCTTCTTCCCTCATTGCCAGCACTTGTACTATACATTGTTTTCTCCCCACTCGTAAGATACATGTAACCATCCCCTTTTCTTTTAATCTACCCTGTCTCTCTCTATCTTGCTTTTTTTCATGGGTTCTTTCTTCCGCTTTTCTTCCCCCACTCATCATCCCCCCTACTACCTACAGATGTATCTATTCCAGTCGCGGATCGATCCACACTGGCTTCCACCATTTTACGGAAATCGGTCAGACTTTTCATAATAAATATATTTTTAATAAATTACTAAATTTGGCCCATATCTTGTCTGAGTGACTTAGAAAATTAAAAATGGAAATTAAAAATCCAAAACCTTTCCTGGGGGAGCCTGCCCTCAGACCACCCAGAAGCTTGCACCTTCGGTGCTCGTTTAGGAAATCGTTCAGTATTTTTCATAGATCCGTGCCTGTATGCCTTTTTCTCTCTTTCCTTCCTTCCTTCCATTTCTCCCTCCCTCACCTCTTTCCTCCCATGTTCCTTGTTGCCTTCCTCCTGTTTTCTGCTCCTTCAGTTATCCCATTCCGTTTTGTTCTGTCTCATTCCTACCTTTTCTCTTTTAATTCTATTTCTCCCTCTTTCATTAAGAAAGGTTTTACATTTTCTTTACTCAATACAGATGAAGAACATCAAAAAGCGCTGAAAGATTTAGAGGTAGCTAGGAGAAATTTACAGGTATTTTTCACTGTGTTGGTGATGTTTTTACCACATTGTAAAGCATACTGTAAGTGAAATTACAGTGGTTCACAAGATGTCTTTCGCTTTCTCTGCTTACAATTTGAAACATTCAATATAGTGAACATTGATTTTTCTTGGGATTTCCTACTATACTATTATATTCTTAGCTTTAGCATCTTTTGATGCATAATTATCATATTTTTTTATGAGTACCATTGTTTGTTATGATTGAAGGAGTCTGCTAGTAATCTGGATGAAGTGCTCAAGGAAAGAGATGACTTATCAGAGACTTGTGCTGATCTAAAGCAACAGATGGCTCAGGTAAAAGAATCCTCTCTGTTAACCATGGCGTTATATAAAAAATATGCAGCTCAAGTTAATAAGACTATGCCTATTATTTAGAGCTTGTTGAATTTATTTTACAAATTCTACCTCTACATTGTTGTCTAACAGTACTTTTGAATCTAGCTGGCATAAAATAAAACAGGAAACAGATAAAATACCAGCCTTGTGCTAATTCTATGTATTTGTAACAATAAAACGGAAAAATAAATAAATAATAATCAATCAATTAGACAGTTAAATGATAGCATAAATGAAAATGATAGCTCCTTATATGTTACATATTATTGCCTTTCCTTTAAATTTCAGATGGTGGCAGAATTTGATGAAGACAAGAGGATAAGTATTGAAAAGTAATTGAAACTTGTTTTCACAGACATACATGTACATTGCATGTATCTTTGACCCCAAAAGGCCTTATTCATACATGGCAGGCAAATAATAATTTTTTCTCATATTGTGACCAATAACGTCTTTCATCTTTTGCATCTGATGAGTGAACACCAACAAATGACCTTCAATGTACAGGCCATAATCAAGGTAGAATCATGGCACAGAGAGATAATCTCAGGGCGTTGGCCAGGATACGTGAATTTCACTACAGTTATTTTTAGAGGTTTTACTTAAATGGAAGTCTAATTCCTGAGACGTCCACATATTTTTATTGATTGTTTTAAATTTTGTCAACTCCATGTGTGACTGCCTTAAAGCAGAATATTGTAATGGTGACTGTTGAATTTTCTCTTGACAACACTGAATAAAAGTTTGGGGACCTCTCTGAAAGAAAAACTCCTGATTAGTTTCAAGTGTTTAATTGGCCTAAAAATAACTTTGGTAAAATTCGCATAATCCTCAGAGCTAGACTGTGTATTCTCTCTTCCATTATTCTCTCTTGCTGTAATATTTTACTCAACAGATGTTTTTATCCTTTTGGATTCTCATAAATGTTTTGATTATATAGAGAGCTAAGATGTGAAAGTATTGGGAAGTAGTGGAAACCAGAAGGCTTGGGGTAGGACCTCTCTCCAGACTAATAATCAAGACTTCTTTTGGTGTGATGTTTGCATTTTTATCTTTTTCTTAGATGCAGAGAAGCATGTCTTCAGCTCCACGAGAATTCCAAGAACCTCTTAAGAGATCAGTTAATCGAGGAAAATGAGCAGACGGTCAGAAATTTAAAGTAAGTGAATGTACTGCTATTGTACACAAGTAAACTAACAGAATTTGTTGTGACCATTGTTGCTATGTCATAGCTACAATACATGGGACACTTGGGCTCCCTTTTGAAAACCTTTGGCGTTGGCATGTCCTAGTGCTGGGGCAATTATCCTTTTCATTCTTAAGTAGGCTCGAACTCCTTTAAAACCTCTAATTTCATTGTGCTTCTATATTTCGCAGCTCTTTTGCTTTGGGGCTGGGTTCCATCGTTAACTTTGTTCGTTCATTGTTTTCCCAAACAGAACTGTGAGACCTTGTTACAGCTACGAGGCGTCTCTCATTTTTCATGAACGGATTTGCAATACAAGTGAACTACTAGGCTTGATTTCCAGCCGTTAGGCACAAAATGGCTAGTAATCGAGCCCAGTGCATGCATGTCTGTATTGTATTTTATTTTATTGTAGGAAAGAATTGGAGGAAAGTGGTGAAGAGTTAATAAGGATCAAGGAGTGTTACGTTCAGCTGAGCGAGGAATCACGTAGCCTGGAAGAGAAATTAAAAGAACAGTTTGAGAAGGAAAAACAAGTTCTTTTGTCTGAGGCAAGCCTATATATGTACATTTGAAAATACCGTTCTCAGTTTCTGTGCCCTGTAACATGTCAATAAGCATACAAATTCACTTAGAAAATGCGCTTTGTTGTAAATTTGACCATCATTATTCATTGTGCAGTAAGGAACAAGGACAAATGTATTCACAAGATTTTTAAAGTACTATCAAATATAGATAACAGGTCTTCAGGAGTGTGTTATGTCAGCATGTTCCTAGTCTCCAAATTGTCCTTCATTAATCTCTTGTGATACTGACAGGAGAAACTTGTTTACAAAATGTTTTTCACTCAGTGATCTTTTCAAAATCCACTTAACCAGATAACCGTTAACTTTTGATTAAGCTGTGATATTTTAAGGAGAAATTTGATGTCGGTCACTCTCAGGAGTTAAAACGTTTAAAAGTTTTAACCGACTGTTGTTGTTGCTTTCAGAGTGAAGCTAAACTAGTGGATGAGCTGCGGGCTTCCTTTGAGAAACAATACAATGATGAATTAGAGAAAGCACGTAAGGAGTGGAAGGAAGAAGAGGTTTCAAAAATTAAAGATGAATTTATGAAAGAAAAGGAACAACTGCTAAAGGTCTGAAAACAGTTTGGGGTTTTACGTTTTGTTACTCTGTTTTGTCAGCTGTTAACGCTTTTATTTCAGTGAGTGTAAGAGTCAAAATTGAAGTAAAATTTCGAAGTCTAAGTAAAAAAATTCATAGAAAAGCAAATAGCTTGCCAGCAAGCTCTTCATTTCGTTTTGGAACGAAACGAGCTGCAAGAGAACGCGCCCACATGAGTCAAAGCATCTCTTTTGCGTGCCACTCGCTTCCGCGATACCCCCAAATGCAGAGCTAAAAAACAAGTTACACCACTCCAAGTCCCTACAATGAGGTTTTTGGTTCCCTTTGAGTGTCTTTAATTTGAAAAACATTGATCGCTGATCAAAAGCGACTGTCGTCTCTTATTAATCTTTATTTGCTTAGTGTAATAAAATTACCTCCAGTACCCACTTTTTACCCACTTCATTACCGTTATTCATTACCACTATTATTCTTTGCGCAGGACATCGAAGAGCAAAAGACTAGGCTGGTAGAAGAAGAAGTTTCTAAGGCGCGCAAAGAATGGAGTGAACAGCAATCTTGCAGTAACCAGACTGATGTTGATGATCAAATAGCTGCTGCCAGACAAGAATGGATAAAAGAACATAATGATGAACTGGAGAAGCGTTTGTGTAATGCCATAGAAGAAGTTAGACGAATATGGGACGAAGAACAGAAGCTAAAAACAAAAGAGGTCAGAAATTTACCCCAAACATTTTAAGTTTTTATTTTGTAATACGGTTAAAGATCGTTTAACAGTCACTGAGATGGAGTGCTCTCCTTACAGTGGCCTCGATAAAACCCCATTTCGATATGCCGCTTGGAAAATAGCCTGCGCGCTTTTCAGAAGTTAAGCGCGAAGCGAGCGAGGAGCGCTAGATACTCGCAACCCCTCCCCCTGTCCCACAGCTCTAGCTCTAGTTGCAGACGCAGTTTTTTCTTTCCGAGGCTGTTTGCTTAAGGAGGCTTCAGTAGTATTCAGTGATGTTAAACGTACTGCAGAAGAGAGATCGTATGATTGGTCACACGCAAGGACTTTGCCTACAGGCCCGGAAAGGTTAAAACTGCATTACTTGTCTTCATATTTTAGTTGGAGTGTTATAGAAAATGAAAGACTTATAACAAGCAGAATGCAAGCATACGCTAAGAAGACTTCTACAGTTATGATCTGCAGTGTTGCAGGGATAGAATTGACGGTACTTCTCTTATACACGATAGAACTAGATGCTACTTAAACTCACCGGAAAGAAAAGAAAGACGCTTGAAAGGAAGATCTTTTACGTGTAGGCGTGGCTAAAACCAAGCGAAAATAACCTGTCTGAAGTATCACGGGCACAAACTTTAAATTCAAAAGTACGACATGAAGAATCATACGCTAGTTTCTTCCCTTGTCACTCTCTCTAAATATTTTGGCTGTCGTCTTTTTAGGAAATAGAAAAAATGCGTAGCGAGTTAGAGAGGGTTCACAGGGAGTCACGTGACCAAGAGCTCAACAAGGCAGTGGAATTGGCTCTGTCCCATGCTCACGCGGACTGGCTGAAAAATGACGAGGAGATGAGGCAGCGAGAGATCGATCAGGCTGTTGAGGTGGCTACCACTAATGCAGTAGCTGAGGCTAAAGACGAATGGGACAGAGAAATTAAATCACAAGTAAGTCAGTCCAACGTACATTCAATCATTGTTACCTCAGTGGTACTTAATTTCTTTGGCCTGAAGCTTCGCGTTTCGAAATTGAAGACCTGAGAATAAAAATCCTAGCGAAACTTTAAAAAACTACACGCCAAATTTAACACGCATAGAAAAACCAAAACACATGAAAAATATGACTAGCGTGTAATAACAATAACATATACAGGATATGTATTGACAAATACCCTCATTTTTCATTGATTTTACTGTTAAACTCCATTTTTTGTTTTCTGTTATGAAATAACTTTAATTTGCAAATATTTCACATACCGAGTAGAGAATCTAGCTGTCATCTTCATCTGAATAACTAGATTCGTACAAAAAACATAAATATGCGTTTTACTTCATTGTTCCAGTTTATCTAGAAATTTTTTAAAACGTGAGCCTTTCTGAAAAATATAATCAAGTTCAGAACGCTTGAATCAAGAAATTTAATGCCCTTTTTCATATTTTCCTCATTAATCGCGAAAATACGACTCCGTGAAATACTGTCCCACTAAAATCGCTTAATTAAGTATCTGCGAAATTAAGTACCAATAGGGTAGTTCCAGACGGTTTTGAATTTCCCAGTTTGATTGGCCAGACGCAGGGGATTCAAATGCATGTAGAACTGGTTCGGTGTACGAGTAATTAGCCAGAGGGTTTCCCGTTCATCTTGTTATCTCCCTGTGTAGTGATTTTGGTTGAATGAGATAATTATCAAAGTATAGAAATAACTGTTTTCAATAATTTTGTTTCCGAAGGACAGCCTTTTGCAGACTGCTCTCACTCACGAAAAGCTTCGTTGGAAGAAAGAAACGGAATTGGAAAAAAGCAAGGCGGTGGAAGCTGCCGTAGCTATTGCTGAAGTAAAGTGGCACGAAGAGGAAGAGAGGAAGATCTCTGAAGCAGTCGAACAAGCCATACGGGGGGCGAGAGATGCGTGGAAAGAAAGTAAACAACGGGAAATAGGTATGAGTGTTGACGGACCAGGTTGCTATTAGGTATCTAACCATGGTCAGCGGACTCAAAGAGTCAAATGAACCAATCAAAACGCAAGGCAAATACATGTAGCTGCTGCCAAGCGCGGGAAAACGCATGCAAGAAAGTTGTGATTGGTTAGTTCAGAAAGTGGCGTGAGCTCTGTAGCCAATCACAAATCTAACAAAGTAAAACTGAAAAAACGAAAGTGAGTTGCGATATTTGCGCAAACTCAAGGGTACATTTAGAGAAACTTGGAGGAACGCAGTGGTCTCAGCTCGAGGCAGGGTTGAAGAGGTTCATAAGGTAGTGTTTCTCTTCGTTCCTTCTAAGATATCTGGAAAGGAGCTTATAGCTGCAAGGTGCTGTTACTTGGAAATGAGCCCTCCTAAAAGTTTTTTTATCAGTTATAAACGTTAAGTAAAGTATAACCTAAACTCGATGCCCTTTTGTGGACTGTATTTAGCTGTTGCAGTGGAAATGGCTCGACAGGAATGGAACGCAAAACAGAAAGACGAACTTAATGTCGCATTAGAAGCCACCAACGCACAGCTCATGAAGCAGTTCGAGGAACAAAAGAAGGAGGCTGTGGAGAAGGCTGTTTCCAAGGCGAGGGTAAGATTAATCAGTCTATGTGTTTGTAAAGTGTCCCCAGCTTTTTGAAACTTGTGGTTGATAATTACAGTCGAACCTCTCCCCAATGGCTTGCTTGTGGTTAGGGGTACATGTCCGAAGAGGTCAGAATAATATAAGACGGACCGTCCGCCTACACAAACCAAAGTTACCTTTGGGGCGAGGTAACTTCTAATAGAGGTTTTGCCATAGAGGAGAGGGCGAGATCACTCCCTCTATGGAGTTCAAGCGGCGACGGCGGCGACCCTGTACATTCTTCATTCTTTGGACTGGACTCCATTACCATCCGCTGTTCGGGAAACGAGTTCCTCCCCGAGAGAGCGGCTGAATTATTGAGGGAAATAACGTGAACTGAACTGAATTGATTTACTACTTGATTTGAGCCTTAGATTTTGACATCTGTAAGATGTGTATTTTACAAAATTATTCAGTAACTTTGATATGTGCAATGTGATGCACAACCTTCAGAAGCCGAGTCCTGCATTTGAGAACGAAACAAACGTTTAAAAAACTGCAGCTATTGAGAGTTTTGTTTTCTAATAGTTGCAGTGGGAGAAGCGATCGTCCGTGGAAACGCGTTCAGAAATCGAGTCCCTCAGGGAAGAAATCTTTAGAGAATTCGAGGCGCAAAAGAAAGTGGAAATTCTGGAAACATTGGAGGAAGCGAAGGAGGCTTGGATGGAAGAATCTGAGGAACTGAAGCGAGAGGAAGTGAACGAAGCCATGGCGTACCTTGAGTCCGAGTACACTAAGAGGATGGAAGAATTTAAACACACGGAGTTAAAGGAAGCTCTTGAAAAAGCGAGACAACAGTGGACTGCAGAAGAACTTTCACGCCGAGAGGAAATTGTTAAGGTAAAAAGGAAACTTTGTATGTTCGCTTTGTATGTATTGTTACGTGCCCCTCACGCTCTTTCTCGTCTCATTCAAAGTACCTCCTCACCCTCTGAACAGGCAAGCGATTGCCTTTTGGTACGATGCGACTTGTTAGGACTTCAAAGAAGTTTGTTTCTTGAAAGTTCGAACACACTCAAGCAATTTGGATAGGTCATGAAATCTTTGCGGTAGGGATTTGCAGATCATGTTGCTTCAAGCTCATACCGGTTGAAAAAATGCTCGCGATGTAACTTCGGACTTCTGTTCCATGCCACGATTGTGCTCGTTACGATGATAATTTTGCTTCATAATGTAGGTGCAGTTTATAAAAACCTTTGTTTGTCAAAAGTATTTCACAACGTAAAATGTTGTACTGTTGCAGTTTTCTTGACATTTACCTTGTAAAGAAATCTGTTGGCTCTTGATTGCTTGGTTCTTATTTTCGTCAGGTTTTTTGTTCCGGTTGACTTTCAAAATATACCCATGCAGCATATGTTAAACTGAAGTCGTTTACTTTTTTCTAGGCTCGTCTGGCAGCAGCGCGAGAGGACTGGCGCAGAGAGGTAGCTAAGTCTACAAAAGATGAGACTGACCGCGCGTTGGCAACTAACAATGAAGTTGAGCTGGGGAAGCGAACTAGAGAATTAGAGGAAAAAGTACGAGAGAAACTTCAAGCCGAACACGAGGAAGAGAAACGGAAACTTGTTGAGGACACATTTAGAGAAGCCGAGACAAAGTATACGAACGAAAACGTAAAATTAAGAGAAGAACTTAGAAAGGTGAAGGCGAGTTTCTTTACTGATTGTCGAGGAGTTGAACTCGTGCATTTCTGTACTGGACATTCAGTCATTTATTTTATATTATCGTATGGCTAAATTTAGTCATTTGCTTCATAGGCGGAAGAGGCAACTCGTGATAAATGGCAAGCAGAGAAGACTCGCTTGGTTCAAGAGTATCAGAACCAACTGGATCGCATGCGCAGTGAATACAACTCGAAGCTAAAAGAACAACGTGTACAGATCGAGAGAGACCTGGGAACGAAGACGAACAACGAGCTTCAGAAAGTGAGAAATGGCTTGAAACAAGAACAACAGGATGCGAGGTAACTCGGGTGAATCCGCGTGTCTTTCAACCTCGTGCCCAGGGCGCTTTTCCCTGGCCTCACCTCCAAAGCCAGGGAAAAGCGCCATGGGGACAAGGCTGCATGTCTTTGGCCATGTTTTTTTTCTCTCTCTTTTTTAATGCCATTCATCCCCACCACGTTTGTCGTGAGTTTAGATGGGGTATTGATTGTATAGTGGATTTTCATCTATCATCAATTAGTAAATTTTGGATGATTTCTAGTAGTTTCGTGGGTTGAAATTTAACCTAATTTCTCAGCTGTCTGGTATTTTTGCAGATGCTGGCACTCCACGGAGTGCATCTGGCAACATCTGATTAAGAATCCAATTTGTTTTCTCGTATACTAATTGCCCCTCTGAGAGAAGTGTCCGCCCTACAGATTGATTTTTAATGTTTATTGATTTGTTTGTTTGCTTTTTTTACACATAAATGAAGGGAAACAAATTGCCGCTTATGAGTGCTGGGCTTATACACCTTTTTAAGGGGGTTATAGGGGGGCTTATATCCAAGGGAGGCTTGTAATCGGAGTAGAAGAAGCGTATCAATTTAGGTTTCTGGGAAACTGCATACCTACCCCTTCCCTAAGTCAGCATTAACACTTAATTCTCACTTAGGGCAAAATGCTTGTTTAGGGGAGAGGTAGGTGGGCAGTTTCTCATAAGTGTTGGAGCTTACAAGCGGCAGTTTACATTGTCAAATTTACCAGTTGCTGTCATCTGCCGACATCTGCCGGTATTTTTTCCAGGGTTCAACTGGAGAAACAACATGAACAGAAAGTAAGACAAGCCCTAGAAACCGCCAGATGTGAATGGGAAAAGCAACAGAGGCAAGAATCTACCAAACAAGGCGAAGAAGTGAAGAGACAACAAGAACTGTGGACAAAGGAGAGACGAGAAAATCAATCCGCCCTCGAGAAACTGAAACGTGAGCTGGCCACGTTAAAGAAGGAGTACAGTACAACCACAGATAAACTTAAGAGGGAATTGTTTGAAGAGAGGAAGAAAACGCAGTACAGTTCAAAACGGCGAGACTCCAGAAACGATGCTTCACAGGTAATTTGGGTTTAAAAGAGTTCTGATTGTTAAACTGTTGGAGGTCAAAAGTAACTGTAAGTTTGCTCTTCTTGTACCCTTTGCTGAGCGTTACGACAGTCAAATATTCCCCCATGTGTTGTTGGGGCATACTGTACTCTTTAATTTGCACTGGTTCTTGCCTAGTCTAGTTTTCGGGCTTATAATTGGTCATATAGTCCGAGTTCCTAAAACTCACTCTCGAAACGAGGTCAATTTTTTTGGTGAAAACGAGGTTTATTTATGGAAGAATCAAAAGTTATTTTCATATCAAACATTTCGCCCTTACCCTCACTTTGAAACAGAGGCTTGGAGCAACTCGGAAATGAGCCATTAGTTTATCCTGGTTTTGTGGCCAACAACTAAATTCTGTGCACTTTTTTCCAACCACCGATTGTTTTTCTCTTTTGTTAGAAGAAGACAGTAGTTCGTCGAGTTACATGATTTACAGGGAGCGATCAAAAGTGATTATGGCTTGCTAACGTCGGTAATATTGGTCCATCCTTGTTTGACTTGCCAACTACTTTTTCCTTCTTTTAGGCTCCATTGCAACTGGACAGCGGTAGCGACACAAGTTTTAGCAGTGTTGAAAACGTGTCAACCACGCGTGGTCTCCAGGAACTACGTCAGTACTACCTAGACACCATTGCTAAGATACGTGATGACGTGCTGAATCATGTGACCCAGACCAAGGCTAGTGCAGCTAAAAAGATCAGGTAAGGTTATTGAAAAGGAATCATCTATCGTTGAACATTGCCGTCAATTTGTTTGAAATACTGTCCTTTATTGTAGAGGTGAAGTGCTGAAAGAGCGCCATTCCACGGCCAAGAAGCTTCGTAAGTATTACCTTCAGTGTCTCAAACAGCTTCTTGAAGAAGATCGCGTTGCATTGGAAGGAAACACTGCGCCTAGCAGTACCGAGGAGAAATTAAACAGAATGGCGGTAGCTTTGAGGACGCTTAGTCCGAACAAAGAAGCTGTTGGTGAGTACTCCTTACTTTTTTTTTTGTTATTATTATTATCTTTCTCAAATGTTACATTGAAGCATATCTTAGGGGATAATCTGTCGTCGATTTTTATTTTGTAAATTGTTGTGACGTGTGTTCTTGATTGATGTATTAAAATGTCGAGACAAAATGAGTAATTTTTTTGTTATTTTCATTAAGGCTTACCTTGCTGACGGCTTTTAGCGAAAGAAAAAGTCTTCTCTCACTGTATATTAGCATCATGTCGACCTTAAGAATGCCTCAGTTTTTGTCGTAACTTTCAAAGACGAACTCTACACTCCCCCCCTCCCCGAGACACTTCTTGTTCAGTTTTTGTTTCCAAAACTAAAAAAAAAAACCGGAAAAGCTGCTCTAAAGGCCTTAGATAAAAAACCTCTCGTCTCCTTTAGGACAGCTGCCTCACCAACCGGAAGTCCTTGATGACACCCAATCGCCTCGTTCTGGTGTATTTAAAGTGTTACTCGACTCCAGCCAACGGGAAGCTCGGGAAGCTCGTTCACCATCCATCGGAAGGATTCACGGTAGACCACGTGACAGTGGTCCTGACGGGGCTAGCGATACAGGCCCCATTGTGGGAAAGGAAAGAGAATTCACTCCTGTTTTTGGAGAGCAGTTAACTGTAACAGATAAGGATGCCTTTGATCTCAGCGGCAAATATTTCACTCCGGAGAGAGACTTGGAAAATTCAACCTCTCAAGAGACAGAATCTACCAGCTCAAAAGATTCGCCCCCGGAAATGAAGGATTGTCACATGTCAAGCCCTGTTCTGGAGCATAAGACAGTTAACCACTCGGAATCAGAGACGTCGACTGACAGAGAAAAGCAACGGACTTATGTCATGCATGCTCCATCTGAGCATGCTTTCAAGCAGAAACCGCTGGCCTCTTACAAGAGGAGTGCGCCATCGCCAGCCTTTTCTATCAAATCTTATGAATCAGATCAATATAGTGAACTGCCTACTGTGATTCATGTATCAAGGAGAGAATCAAGTGGTTCCAAAGAGAGTAATAGTGGTATTCCGACACGCCGCACATTACAAGATAAGGACGCTATCATTCCACCAGTCAGCGCTTCTGTACCCGACATGCGCAGTCGACCACCTGTAGAAAAAATTAGCAGGGTGTTAACACGTGACAAGAGAGTGACGTCGACATCGAGTCTACCTTCTAAGCCACGGGTTGATGTTAGAGCGAAGCATGTGCAAAAAACATGACCAAAACATTGGCCGTGTTGCAGCCTCTAAACAATCTTTGCACCCGGCTTATGAAGGTTTGGCAGAGCACTCTCCCCACAGATTCCTGTATTTCCGCGTGATAAGTGGCTTCAACAGGAAACTTGGTACAGAGCATCTCGTTGTTTGACCTTAACACTTAAGCTTTGTTTACACGAGTTGGTGTATTAAGTTTGTCACCCACACGTACACGGAGATCTTTACAAGACATTTGTGAATGTATCGTACTTTATCTCCACAGTATGGATCGCAATAGGTTTGAACAAGGTTTTTCCTGCGAATTGCAGGATTAAATTTTCGGCACAACAGCACATACACAAGGAACAAGAATGTTGTTCATTTAACGAGTTTGAACAAGGGTACATTTTGTTGTGAAGTACACAAAGGTATAGCACAATTTTGCTACACTTGACAGTGGCTTCACTCGCAGTTAAGTCTCAGTTATTATTTATTGACAAAAGAAAGCATCATCTTAAGGCAAACAATTTAGCAATGTGCTGTTTGCTTAAGTTGTCTTCTTTGTTTCACTGGACATAAACAAGGGATGGGTAATGAAAAAATTCCGCGGGCAGTGGCATTAGAGCAGAACAAAATGTTATTTTCGAAAGGCAAGTGAAGGTTGTTTAGACTCTAGTCAACTGAGAAACTCACTGTACACCGTCATACGCCAAGAGAACTTTAAATTATTTATTGGTTGTAAATATTTGTCTGCAAGAAAGTTGCTGGCTGCAATAAAAATTTTTCAAGGAAAAGTTGACTCTTTCAAAGTTTTAAAACCTTGGGCGCTAAGGGAAGGAAAAGCTTAAACTTGCATAGACTCTCAAACACCGAATAGTGCCAAAAAACTCTTTAAAATATAAAAGAATTATAGGTTATTTGTTAAATTTGTAGAAGCAAGTACTACCAAGAAAATCGGTACTGCTACAGAGGTTTCGTTTAAATTACAACTTCTTAAATGTTTTGGAAGAAAAAGAGTAAGCCTTGGTTTGTTATTTACAAAAGGAGGCCGCGGACGACATGTTCCAAATCCAACACTACTCAATCCTTTTTGTCGGTATTTTCTTTCACTCTTTTTTTGTTTTGTGGTTTATCGAAATTTAACGTGGGAATTATTTAGATCAATAGAGGGGAAGACTGCTGTCCTCTCAAGACTTACACCTTCATTGCCTTGACTGTTGAGAGAATGGAAACAAACATAAGATTTAAAGATAACATGGCCTCGACGTTTTTGTTTCCTCTTGTCAAACAAGATTGCTTTGTGTTAACAAGATGAAATGAATCTTGTGCTAACAGCTGCTTAAAGCAATCCTAAGCAAAATAATCCTTTTAAAAGCCTTTCTCTTGATTAGTACTAATCAGAAAAACAGTTTAGTTTCGAATTTCCAAGATTTTGAGTTGTTACGCGTGCTTTGAATTTTTCCGGCGCCTTTAAATCCTTGAGATTCAACACTGACACCTTCACTTTTCGTTCGTATGAGAACCTTTGCGAGGTTAAGCCCACCGTTCCATTGATTTCTTTGTTCATGATCGTGAGAAGCTCGTTGTGGTTGAGTGAGGTTTTAAATGTTAGGGGGTCGTTCCTGTTGAACGAATCCGTGCACAAGAACAAAAGGGACCACGCACTCAAGCTCATAAAAAAGCCGCTTAAGGAAGGGAGTGCATTGAGGTCACTCCAAAAAGGTTCCAATACTGATGAACAGTTTTCCACTTGTAAGAATAAACAATTCAAGAAAATTAGAATGTCCCACTCAGGCGTACTACTCACTAAGTAACATTCAGAGCTAAACGAGCTGTAACCAGTTGCGTTTGTTATCGAAATTTCTTTTTGTAACCTGGAAGCACCGGGCCAAAATGGACAGCCATCACTTTCAGCCCAGAACCTACTTGAGCTGTTGGAATAAATTTGAATTTTTATGACGGAAAGAACTGGAATAAACAAAACAATATCGTGTTGTAAATTATCTTTTTTTAAACGACTGGAAATAACTATAACTTACTTTGTACGTGTAGTATATCATGGTTTCGCTGAAAACACAACTCTAAGTTTAAAACCCTAAGTCGTATCTATTTCTAATCCTTATAAAAAATCGTTTCCCTTTAAACCCTAAGATGAAAATGTGAATTCTCATTTTTTGCCCCTATTCATTTCCTACAGAAGTAGTGGGGAGAAGTTGATAAAATATCAAGCAAATTCATCATACGTGATCATGTCCGTAATTCTCATGACCACTCTGTTTTACAAAGCATTGATATTACAGGGAGAAATTTGATGCTGATCGCCCTTAGGGCTTAAAGGTTAAGAGCATATTTTGTTTATTCCGTTACATTCTGTTATGAAGTTTTTTTAGGGTCAGTTCAACACCTTATGTGTAGTCTGGGCAATGCACCTGTGAGCTGCACGGGAATTACAGTCCAAGGACCAGCAAAAGCTTTACTATTGCATTGTTCAACAGAATATTCCAGTTTTTTAGAATGATAAATTCTCTTTATTTATATTAATTTTCCCGCATATATTTCCTTCCGCTTTTGTTGCCGTGAGTGTTGTTTACTAAGCTCTCCAATCGCAGGGACTTTGGGTCCCTCGACAAAGGGTGACGTCACAGAAATTAACAAAATGTTCGGCACGTGAGCCTGCCAGTCACAACAGGGATCGTATACCCCACTAGGCAACACTAGCATCTGCAGCAGACAGTCCAAATTTTACTCACAGTCGAGAGGTTGAAAAGCGTTGCATGGGCAACAAGATGAGATCAAGCACAGCAACAGCGGTTTCCTCTACGATATTCGCTTTGATGTGTGTTATTAGCCATGGTAAGAATTTAATTGAATTGTGTCGAGTATTGTTTTTATGGGGTGTAAGGGTGTTTTTTAGGAAGTGATGTTAGAGTTGCAATGCTTCAATGCTTCGAAAGCAATCGACTAGTTTCGTGCAAGTTCTCGATGCGAGGATACATTTTTTGAACAAGCGACGTGAAGCACAGCACATTATTACTAAATTATTTAAAATCTAATACTTTTAATAAGAATTACCTATCCACCATCCTGTTTCAGTTTCTTTTATTTGAAAAGCACTGCAAAGATTTGTAACTAGTGGACACGCAACTTCGAAATCAATGCTTCAACACCTCAATTATTCTGGCTTTATGTAGATACGGTTGATTAAGGTATCTAACATATTTTTTTCCCATCTCAGTCGTATTTTGGTGATAACACTGTCATTTCAATCTGCGGTCGAAGAAGTAAGCATCCAGTTTATTTCAGTTTTTACACCTTCGGTATTAAAAGTGATGAATATTTAAGAAAAAAGCTAACCCTGCTTCATTTAAATGCAAGAGAAAAACGAAACTTTATCGAGCAACAATAGCTAGTTTTAGAACGTTTTTGGTAGGTTTATACGAAAAAACGTTAATTTACTATTTGGAATTGGGTGATCCATCAGTAGTGGAAGCACAACGATACTGAAGTAGATCTTATTATTCGAGAGTTTTCTACACTCATCGGCTTTCAGCTTAGTCTGAGGGCCATCAGTAAATAAAAATAAAGATTGCTTTACGCATTACTTACATTTTTGAAATGATACATGTATATCAAATGTTAAATGGGAAAAAACAAGTTGTTCATAATCGAATGAGTTGTCAAATGACAGGCAACCGCTATGTTGATATTAGATGTCTAAAGATGACACACAACAAGTCTTTCAAATAAACCCATCTTGACCGTGTTAGACAAAAGGAGCAAAAATGTTTCCACTTTGGTGGACCCTATGGTAGAATACTACCCTTCCGACCGCACAAACAGTGAATTTGTTCAATAGTACAACAGATTTTGTTTCTTAGAGGCGGTATTTGCGTTGTTATATACCTGATATACTCAAGTGTTGTACTGTCTGTCGGCCGCCCAGAGTTATAAAGAACAACATGGTTTCAATTTTTCCGTCCATTGAATCTCAATGATAAAGTTTGCAAAGTTCTGCCTATTTTTTCGCAGTGTAAGGTTTTATGTAAAGTTTGGCTAGTTTATATTGAGTACATATTTGAAAATCAGTAACTCTGAAAGACCGTATCATGCTCAGTCTATGCTCAAGCGTAAATCGTTTATTGTCTAATTTTGTAGTTGTATATAATTTCTTTTTTTAGTTGCAAACTTTATGGTAATTCGAGTTTGCTTTGAACACTGCATCCATTAGTATGTATTGGTGAAAGCAATGGAGCGGCACACCTCCCTTGAGCAGACAGGATGCAAGACTTTGAGATAACAATCGACCGGGCAAATTAATTTGACGACTTAAGCGGAATTAATAACATAAGAAACATTTGTCCTATCATTTGACTATTGACCATTGAGCTGCAGTTCTTCCCATATCAAGGGACGTGTCTAGTCAAGGATATCGCCACTGAATCCGTTGAACGTTGTTAACCCGGCGGTATATTCTTCTGTTTTGCACTCTAGAAAACAGATCCTAGGATGACTTCGCAAACAGCCACAATACAAGTGAATATATGTTTCGTCTATAATTGCAACGGTGCTCTTCAATGCATCGTGTGATGTCCTCGAGGCATCTGGCTGTATCGTAATTTCATAGTGACTAAAATGTTGAAGAAATGTTGTGTGTTTGCGAGCATATATAATATAGTCCTCTTTAACATGTGTATTTAAGCCGGCTTAGACTGACTGCATGAGAGAGTGATTCACTGGCAAATAAAATTGCACCATTACTCTAGAATAAACTAGAAATTCCAGTACCAAATGAGGCGTAGCTGCGCGGGCAGTGAAAAATGTGGAAGTCATTCTAGAACCAACAAGTCCCTTTTCTTGTCGGTAAATCACTAACTAGAAGCCTCTAAGCCTTTATTATTCAAACGGAATTCTTTGAAAGGTTAAAGCATGGAGCTAGTTGAATTCTTAATTGAAAATAGCGTTCATATCCAAGTTCATCTTGTGCACACGTCCTCCATGAAAACGTTGTATTTAAAGTTTAATGTCGTAGTCGTAAAGTAGACGTCGAAGAAATGTTTCAAAAAGCGTAAAAAACTTGCTTTGCTTTTTTTTTACTCATAAATCCAATAGACCTTGTCACGGTTTTCGACGCCATCTTGACGAGTAGGCAAACGCGTGAGAAATTATACCCTGCTAGGAGTGAAGCTTTAGTTTACAAATCATATTTTTTTCACAACAGCCGTTCTAAGGAAATTATTCGACATTAGATTCTCATACAATCCCTGTAATTTCTCACGCGTTTGCCTACTCGTCAAGATGGCGTCGAAAACCGTGACAAGGTCTATTGGAGTTTTGACATTCTGGTTGTCGTCGTCGTACGGTCGTGGTCCTTTAAGTACTTACACTCAAGAGGCGTGTTTTGTTTAGTGTAAGCTCATTCTCTAAAAAAATGTAAAAATGTAGGGGTGGTGGTAGGGACTTGTCGAAAGTTTAATGCCCATGGGAGGCCTAGGCCAAGACAGCAGGGATCTGTGAGAGTGAACCTTCGTGTCAAGACAAAAATTAAACATAAAAATATTCAGTGACTTTTCGAGGCAGAAAAAAAATATTGACAATGGACGGATCATTGCGGTGTTTGGAGTCTGTTGGAGTCCATTAAAAAAAAAGGCTGGAACAAGTTTTTACAGTTGTACAGTAGCATTTCTTCCTCTTATCATATGCATGTCAATGATTTTTTGTTTATAAGTTAGATATTTTTAAAAAGCTGGCTGTAATATTAGTGTGGACGGCGATATATTTTTCGATTGAAGTGAAAGAAAGAAGTTTCTGAATAGTTGCACCAATGACACTGTAAGTTGAGTGGTATAAATGGTCACGAGTTGCACACGTGGTGATTCGGTGCAGGTGTCGTGTTTATGCAACTGGTAGGCAATCCTATATCCTAGAAAATCAAATCAATCTTCAAATTGATAAGGCACCGATCAAGTCGTCTCGTTTCGTGAGCTGTACCAAAATTATTAACAAAAACAGAGAACCTGTTCCGACATCATTTTAAAACAACGTATCATTACCTGGCGAAGTTTAGCTCAATTTTGTTCGCGCCATTTTTGAGTCCGCGACACTTCACACTAATTAGCTAACTGATCCAAATTTAGCTTTTGTCTCTCTCGAATTGCTATTAGTATTTCCCGAGGCAGGCTCTGTTTTGACAGTGGAGAAGCGTGATTTTACCGATAAGAATGTCAGTATGTATGTCAGTAATTTCCTAGCATCCAAACTGCCTGCGGGGCTATGGGGGCTAAGCACGGAAGACTGAAAATGAACCCAGAGCTCCTTAGAGAGCTGCTTGTAGGCTACCTGCTGCTTCAATCGAATAGCCTTCGTCGCGGACGAAATCAAATCCCGGTTAGTAACGTCTACGAATTAACGCCGATATCCTCATTCTGGGCCCCAAACGGACTCAACGAATTACAGGAAACGCGTGAATTTCCCTTCAACCTGATTGGCAAATCCGGCGACGATGGATTTTCTAAAGGGCAAATCATGGTGCGTACTCAAATCCTGGTACACAAGTAAGGGCCCAGAACAAGGATTTTGGCGCTGTTTCGCAGACGAAATTAACTAGAAGTTTAGTTCCCTCTGTGGCGCAGGCTAGGATAACAAAACTCTTGTGTGTTTTGTTTCAGTGTTGGGCTCCGAACTTTACTGCTTTTCCTGCTTTGGCTTTAACAAAGATGACTCGAGTAAATGCCTCAGTCGAGAGGCCGGTAACTTGCATGTGCGGAAATGCACAACTAATTCATCTGACTTGCCGGCTTGTATAAAGTACACAGCTCATTATAAACTACCGCAGATGATGGGTGATAAGCTGGTGTCACCATTTGTCGAAGTACATGGCGTCCACTGCGGAACTTCACGACAATGCTATTTAAACGAGTGCCCAAATTTCTGGCCAGATGATGTAACAGCCAAGGAGTGCCAAGTGGATTGTTGCGATCCACGAAAGGAAGCTTGTGCTGAAAACTTTCCTGTGCCCAACGATGATGACATTAAGAAGTATAACGAACGCAATGGGGGCAGTGGTGGGGATGTAGTGTCTGGACCAGGATCTGTAAACGAAATCAGTGACGCGACTAAGCTCAGTAGTTGGTCTGTATGGCTCCCAATAATTTGTTTTGCAATTTGTAAATGGCTTAATCTGCAGCACCTATGATTTCAGCTGATTTCATCACCTGGTCAGTGATGGTCGCCTTCACAGGTCCGAAGACATTGAGTTTACAGAGCATGCAGAGCTGCGTCCTCATAGAACAGAGGACAAATGACAGTTCAGTTGGTAATCCGTTGTTAACTAGTTGATTCAGAATTGCTGCTTATAACGATGTCTATATACTATAGGTATACTTGGAGAGTAGTTTAATTTTTGCTATTGACGTACTCGTGAGAACTGCAAGCAAGTAATTATAATTATATTCTAATTGGCAAACCCGCTAAAAAGAATATAAAACATTTATCATGTAATAAGCAACCACAATTGGGGTGTGTCAACACGAGCCGTGTGCGACCCTCTTTATTATGACTTTATCAACAAAATGGTTGGAATAATACAACAAACAGAATGAAAACTCGGAAATGTAAAAAATACCGCAATAAAACCACCCTACAAAACGATCTAAACTATATGCTCGCATAACAATACCGTAAACGTCCTAAACCTTTCATATAGCAGCACGCAAAAACAACGTCTAAGAGAAACTGATAACTCCTAGCCACTTGGTATTTAATTTTGAGGTTGTAGGGACGGTCGTAAGACGCGAATGAATGTAAACAAGAGAGAATGACAACAACTCAAATATATACAGTATAGCCTACCGCTAATGAAGTAATTGTAACAGCATACCGTGTAACAGCCCAAAGAAAGGGTTACACAACCCATGATAAATACACTTAACAACTATTGAATGAGGCTGAGTAGTGTGATTGGTGAAGAATTATGCAGTTACATTCAAAATGTTTCTAAGTTCTTAAGAATCTTACTTCTTCGTAGACTTTGGCTTTGGTCTCAAGGTACAAACAGCTGGTGTATTTTCTTACAGATACTCCTCAAAAAGTAGATAATATTTATTGTGCAACATTTTTTGTAAATTCTTGCCTTTCGTCCGTTCAGTTTTAGTCAGAAATTCATAATCAACTAGTCTAAATCTAACAACGCAAGGGTTTTAAAATTTTAGGATACTAGTATAAAGCTACGTGATTCGGTCGCGTTTTCTTATGGCGGGGCTATATCTTATATTCGTCTGCGAAAATAGCAGCCGCTTTTCGTTCTCCATCTCTAAGGACCTCTCGAGAAACCATAACAGCAACGGGGAACGATGAGAGCATTGAGAGGCGGCTAAATTCGCATGCAGGCTACTGTAAGATATAACCCCGCCGTAAGCAAACACTGCCAAATCAAGTAAACTTTAATCTTATAGTGATTCGATGAAGGTAACCGCAGAACGGCATTTGGAACCATCGTTTTATTTTAAAAGGAGTTTACCTTTTTGGCCAAATACCAATACAATTTGATGACAGTTTTTTTTCAAAATAGACGTGAGCACAGATTGTATAATGTATATACAGTGGTAAAATAATCTTCATCGGAGTAGGCTAAATGTCATTCACAGTCTCACTTAACGAAAGATTAGAGAGTTTTAGTACGGACGACAGCAGAGACAGCGAACACGTCTTTTTTTGAAAAAAAAAATCGCGTTTTTTAAAACCTTTTTGCGTTTATGTCAAATTTAGGTGAATTTCCCTGGAGTTGAATTATTGGAAACCACGCCCACCTTTAAAAAGAGAACGTGGGTTTATGTCCCCCATAAAACCAAATCTTACGTTGAGGTGGTGCAGTGACCGCAAAGAAATGCCACATCTTCAAAACGGATGCCTTGCTTTTAAAACTTGCTTTTTTGACGTTGTCTTTCCTGAAGCTTTCTGTTAGCTAAAGCACGGCTTCACTGACGCAAAGGAATTTGCAAACCGGCAAACAAAATTTTTTTTTGTGACAGTAAATTATGTACAAAACGTAGTCTGTAAAAAGATACCTAAGTAATGTTTGTTAAAAAGGACTTGAGTAATCTGCACTCCATGACATTTACACAGGGGTACCCAACGGCAATTTTCGGAAAATATCTGTTCGGAAGACGATTTGAGATCTAGAATTTTCGGAACATTTGTTGTAAACTTACTTGCTTGCCTGCCTCTCCTAGGATTTTCGAACATCTACAAAATGGTATAATTACCCATTTTTAACGGATTTTTACCCTAAAAAAGGCCACCTAGAATTTTCGGGAGCCTTTTCCTGGCTGAAATTTTCGAAAAGGTAAGTTTTGATCCCTATAATTTTCGGATCACTAGACTTTCAGCTAGGAAATCCGAACGGATGAAAAGTTTTTAGGGGATAAAAATATACCTATGTCTACCGTTTAAAGACTACAATACGTTCAACAATGCTATGTTAACTGGTTTTGAACTATATCCTCGTTGGGTGCCCCTGGTTTACAGCTTGGGGGAACTGTAGTCCATACTGAAAAATTTCAAAACTTTCGCGTCTTGAGGACTTAAATCAAATCAAGTTGTCTCACTCGCTCTTGAAAATGTTTACATATTAACAAACATTAATAAATAAAATTGACTCATCCTTCTTTTACTTAATTCAGGATTACTAGACAATTTTCCTTTTTGAGGATTAGGATCTTCTTTTAAAAGGTCCTCCCTGAGCTGATTCGTTGATGTCCCTGGGCAAGGAACGAGCGAAACTATTGTGCCGGCGGCCGTCTAAATGTCGGGTCAGAACTCGACATAATTTACCACTTAGAAATGATGAACTAACTCATTGGCTAACAATCTAATTAACCTTTGCTAACCGCCTAAATTGACTTGATACGTTTGCCAAATGAGTTTTGACGCTTAACCATAGTTATTAGAGGAGACTGGTTATGAAAAGCGGCAAACATCAATGATAAAAACAACAGTGCTTCAGTTTATGTTGGAAGTACCGTGAAAGTGCACAATCCTTTGTTTTCTGTTGGCAAATTGTTACGGAATAAATCAATGCAACGTTTTTATTGGTCAATACAATCAAAATGATAGGAATTCTTTTGAACTTTGTGCACTTTCAGGTCCACAAAAACATATAACAAAGGAGTCTGACGGGTTTCATAACCATTCCACTCAATTAACTATGTCTTAACACTTTAAATTAACAGTGAGCATATAATTGGTGGCAAGCTAACTGATGTGATGCAGGTCCTTATGTCCCGAGGCTTTATGCAACCAAAAAAGTTCACGTATAAGCCTAGTTTCAAATAATGGCCTGGATCGCCTAGACTGTCAATACTTGATCATCCGTATGAAAAGTTACGTAGAAAGTGTTCGATCGCAAGAACAGATCAATGCAATTTCATGTCAAAAGATATTTCGCTTCAACTTGGCATATCAAGTATCATATTACTTCAAAGTTTTCATAGTGTCACAAGTCTGCGGCCTTTAACTATGGTTTAACAAGAAAACCGTACCAACAGCAATGATCAATATCCCCAGTGTTACAAGGGAACTCCATTGAACAGTTGCAGATCCGCTGCGAGCCCCTGCCACCGGAGGGCCCTGGGCACTAACAGTAGCATTTCCTTCAGGGCACAAATTTCCCTCACAGCAACTTATCTCACATAATTCGTACTTGCCTTTCTCTACTCCTAACTGCTCGCCAAAATTACCAGTGCATCTTTTGCGAAGACATTGGTCTTGCGTTGCACAGCCTCTTTCGTAGCCGATCACATACTCGTTGTTGAGCAGTTTAACGTGGACTCCAACCGTCATGTTTCGGCAGTGTACCGTGTTTTTTGGGCAGGGAGTTGGTTTGTGGAACTTTATGCAGTCTTCCATGGAGATGCTTGAATAGCATTTAAAACAGTTGATTGAGGTGGCTGTAGAGAAAAATTGAGTTTCCATCCTTTTTGAGTATGTTCTTTTGCATCTTTTATGAAATGTTCTCTTTACTAGTGAGATTTTTTGCCCCCTCCCTCCCCCCCCCCTACCAAAAAATAATTTTTTTAGACATTAAGTAATGATCCGGGTAATGTGGATAGCAGTTTTTTTTGTTATGCGGCAACGGTGCTTTCCCCACATAGGAATGTTCTCATTTTTACACAGAGAATGCATAAACCTACATGAAGGCCGTTTACGCAATAAAATGCATTTACACTCCACTTTGAAAGGGTGTTTTTTTGTGTTAAAAGATTTTGACCAATCACAAGAGTTGAAAACAATAGCCAAGAAAAGTTTACAATTTTACATGTTCCCCACATAGGATTTCTTTGTTATTCAAACTGAGACCAGATTTTGTTATATGGAAGATGGTTGGAAAGTAAGGATGAATATATGTACTGCTTTATGAAGTTTTGTTAACTTTTGCTGTTTAAGCCAATCAGAAGTAAGTACAGACAATAGAAAAGTTAGCACCTTTTTTGCATTCCAACATGTTCGTTGCCGTTGTTGCTATCGTTCTTATCTGGACCGTTTCTTAATGGACGATAGATGAGCCGGGGTAATTCTAGACTGCTACACAGCCGTTTTTAGTGTCGTCACGCAACGCTCCTCCCTACTAACGGCTGCGGCGGCGGTGTTAGTGGGGAGGAGCATTGCGTGACGACGCTAAAAATGGCTGTGTAGCAGACTAGGGTAATTCCCATACTCTGAAAGAAACCATGTGACATTGCCAAGAAAAAAAAACTTCATTTTCGACCTAACAGTGCATGTTTCTTTTCTTACTTTTCATTAAACAGTTCTTTCCAGCCGCTGGTAAAGATTTTTACGCCCCCCACGGGGCTCCAAATTTTTTTCTTTATACTAGTAAGGGTTATAACCTTGCAAGAATCTGGTGAACTGGGGAGGGTAAATAGGGAAAGTGATCATGAAGCTGAGTGAAGTAAAGTGAATAGATCGTTTTCATTGTCACGCAACAAAAAGTCCCCTGGAAGAAGCCAAGAAAGTGAAACGTTATAAAAGACGAATTTTTGAACGATTTATCCAAGTCGCAGGTCTTTGTGGCCCATAGTTTCTGAGTTATTTGCCGAAACGTTTCACGCACCTTTGTAGAGCTTTGTATGGAGACGCCATAAAACGGTGCACCAATATGAGTGTTAACGTAGTGTTTTGGACTATGCAAGGAATTCATAGTTAAGGAATTTGCGGTAGCCTCGTACACGCCTAACAGGAAACTCGAATAGTAGACCTCAACTTTAATTAAAATAAGCAGTTTAGTTTTACCCGATATCTGAATTGGACATGTTTCATGTCTTTCATGTGATTTACTGCTTACCTGTTACACTCATGGTTATCCCGATCAAGGAAAGTTAAGAAAACTCGCCGTAGAAGTAAGTTTATGATCAGTGTTATAATATTGTCAATCATTTTTATTTTGTTAGTTTTATAAGGATTTCTTTAGTTTTTGGATATTGACGACCAGTGATGACCGCATGGCATAATGATTGTTAAAAGTTTATATCAGTTATTGCCGCTTCGCCCTTTGTAATTGTTTCGTTTATTACCAATTGATTTAGTTAATTAGAATACATTGTACATTTTAATTTCAGATCGAATAAAAACATTATTAGTTATACGATTGCGAGTATTCTTCGGTAGTGGATCGTCTTAGTCTTCTTGCGAAACATTGAGTACCAATCAGAACATATCGAGACATTATTTTAAAAAAAGATAATGACAGTCAATATCACGAATTTGAATTAAAATGAATATAATTTAAAGTCAGCTTCGTCTAACAAAAGTGACCTTTAGATGATCCTTTTTTCTTCGTTAGGGCTATGCTTCTTAATAGAACAGCATTAGTTCCCTCCAATCTTAGACCAGGGCCTGTGAATATTTTACGAAGTTAGGTCACTTATTCATAATCACTCTCTTCATTCAAGAGAAACGAACGTGGTAGTACATCAGTCAGTGCCCGTCATAAAACACACTAACTATGAAGTCCAACTATAGCGAAACGTCCTGGAAAACTCAATGGCATCGCATCCCAGAATATTTTTAACAAACTTTAGGACGATAAAAAGTCTGCATCCGATTAAAGTCTGAACCCTCGCCACGTTTTAGATACCATCGTCAATTCGTAATTGACAAATCGTAATTCGTAAATCGCCTCTTTCAAGTAAGGGACGGACCATTAGAAAACTTACGGGGGCGGGGGGGGTGGTGCGCCGTGCGCGCGCAAAGTACAAAAAAAATATTCGCGCAAGGGAAAATTAAATGAAAAAAATTCATGCACGCCAATTAACCCTAAAAAATATTTATTCGACGGCCTAAAAAAAGTTCATGCAAGGAATTTGATAACCAAAAAAAATTCCTGCGACTCGAAAATTCCCCCCCCCCCCATACACCATAACTTTTCTAATGGTTCGTCCCTGCGATTCTGTTAAAGGAAATTGAATGTTGGTTAATAAATAACTTTTCTATTATAATGCACTGTGGTTTTCTCTTCATTAGTCGCGACTATTTTCGTCATCTCTGCACTATAAACTACGCCATCATCTTCACCTTCAAAGATCGGCTACCAAATTACTTTAAAAAGATATACCTCTTTATCATTTTAATTAGTTACAAGGTAATTCGGTTAATATATGCACACACGGTCTAAAGGTAAATTTGCATGTAGATAAACTTGTCCATTTTGAACATTAAATAATATTGTCTGCAAAAAAGAAACTCTGCAGTCTTTAATTTGAGGTATATTTTTAGTTTTTGAAATATTCTCTTCCACGTGATTCATACATAAAGTCAAATTAACGGTATAAATTTTAATTCACAAGATTATGCTGGATTATAATGGCATTCCCTCTACATTTTCTGTTTACCAGTTTCACAAAGGATATATGTATAAGTTCGAGCGGTCAAGCCGTCTTTTGCGTGCGATATCAGTGAATAGCGATCGTGTTTTATGAAATGGTAAGGGTATAAGAAACGTAAGAAAAAGCCGAGAAGAAAGCCTTTCAGTTAATAAAGTAGCTCTTGGATTCGGAACCTATTTTCTGGATCATTTAAGTTGAAATCATCTCAGAAGTCCATGTCGATAAAAATTTAATATCGGTCTTGGAGAGTCAATAATTCCCAAAGGTCCTGATTACATGAATTCACGAAATAGAATTCGCTTATGACGGCCCATAGAAATTCATCGAAAATATGTTGTATATTTCAAATTAGGCGTCTGTTATTGTTCGACTTCGTTCGCTGATCGGTGAAAGTTGTCAGACTGGAAAAATATAAACATTCAGTGTTGTGCAACGGCACGAGTTATCACGCACCAATAACTGCTTTTATTTGTGCCTGTCGATGCCTGCCTTACATGTCCTAATTATCACTATTACTCAGCAGCACCTACCGAATGGAAGGGCGGATCCTGCTATTCCGATCCACAGCAATACCCTGATCATTTTGTAGTCTCCTAAAGATTTGTGTTTTTTCTTTTGACGACTGGTTACTGTCGTGTACAGATTGCCGTTAGTCAGCTGTGGTTGGAGCCTGCTGTTTTACTGAATTGCGGTCTATCGGCCAAGTACGCCTGCGAGCAGCAAAGGCTTGCCTCCTAGAGTATCCTAAAATATCCTTTCATACTTATAAAACTATTCATAACAGTTAACTTTACAGCACACTATTAATTTTAATGTCAATATTAAATTTTATAACGATGCTAAAACCATAAACTGTTGTCGTCACGACGTGAAGTCTTAATTAGAATAGCACTAGCACAAAGGAAGACCTTTAAAATGCTTTAAAATGCTTAAAATGGCACTACTCGACTGTGCTATCAATGAAAAATGTTGCAGTGTTGACGAAGAACGGGGCATTTGCCCTCTTTTTTCGTCCCCACCGCGGGGGATTTGACAGCTCAAGAGCCCCCACCCCCGGGAATTTGCATTGCCATCCAAGGCGAAAAAAATGCTAATGCCCGGGGGTGGGGGGAGGGGGTTGGGGGGTTTGGGGGCTGGGCAGCTGGATTTGACTAATGCATACCAGTGGTGCCCAGGGTGCGCCTTTTATTAATTGAATAAATCTGATGCCGAGTGGATAGCATCGGTTGAAACGCCTCTGTACGTATGGAGAGTAGAAAACGCAATAGCCGATTTATTTTAATACTTGTCCACTGGACAGAGATTTATCCGGTGGGTGGTGCTATCCAGCTTTTCTCAGGGCCAGACCTGTGGTAGGTGGTCTGTACATCCGGTACATGGGAAGGATCGGACATCCCATTTTGTAATTTGTCCAAAATTAAAACATAGTTGGCCAATTTAGATATAATAAAATTCATACTTGGCTACGAGGCCTAGAGGAATAAAGCAAAAGAGATGTATTATTCTTTGCCGAACCTTAGGGTGAATTCTTTTGTTTGGTTCCCCTAATGAGCCTTGGAGCCAAGCTAAAATGAATTTTAATACATCAAAATTGGTCTATCGTCCTCAGTTTTAATACCACAAACAAAGTAAAATTGCTCACTCTAACGTTATTATTAATTATACCGCTACTTCACGCAAACTCACATAAATCAATTTTATTAAATTTTGTTTGAAATTTCCTAACGGAGAAAGCTGACCCTCTGTCTAATATCAAATTATAAAAGCTTATACCACTAGTCGCAATTTTCCCTCGGGTAAACAAAAGCGGTGCCAAATATATTGGAAAAACTGTTGAACTTTTATTGAAAGTATTTGTATTAAATAGCAAGAAATTTACATCCTGGATTTTAACCCGGGCCTTTCGTATGCTAACCTCGGTACCCACTACACTACCACAATTTTGACACCCCTAAATTCCGAAGAAATGAAACATCAATTTTTTTTAAAAAAAATTTCAATTGGTTTGGACTTCGTTCTTCCCAAGACTATTTGGTAACGTGTTTTTTGCTTTATCTTAACTTGTATTCGTTACTGATTTACGGTACCGACCATTGAAAATATAATGACATTGCATGTTTTCGAAAAGATAGATGTCATGTGAACTAGTATTTACAAAAGAGCTCCCTCCATGCAAGGAAATCCAAGACAGTTTTGGACTCGCGATTCCACGCCGTGGATTCCGGATTCTAGGTACTGGATTTCAATCTTTGTCACTTGAACTAGGATTCTGAATTCTTATCGTTAGTAGATTCCGAATTCCCGATTCCAGAACCCAGGATTCAGGGTTCCAAAAGTAAAATTTTCCCTGGTTCCGGATTCCACAAGCAAAAATTTCACGGATTCTGGGGCGCGAAGCTAAGAGCGCTGTTGGGAAAAAAGCCTCCTTTCACAACAAAGTCGATGGTTGTTCGCGCAAGAGTCAGGCCGCTATGACAACGTGCATTAAAGAAACTCCGAGATATCCTACTTACCTGGTTGGCCTAGCGCCCCTATCCACCGTTTATTTTAACTTAACTTTGTGTGCATTTTAGTACTCAGTTAAGCGCCGCTTTTTTGAGTGTTTTCAATCGCAACACGGAGCAGTTGACTCGATCAGTTCTAGTAAGCGGAGAAAATAAAACGAACTAACAAAAATCATGTACTGATCAACATTAACTCAAGGGCGAAAGACTGGAATGTAAAAATTGAATTTGTCACGAATTGCTAGTGGTCTTACTTTGATTGGAAGAATAAATAATGGTCAAAGTTTCTTTAGCCATTCACATTGTGGAGCGATTTAAAACTTAGGAGATCGCTTAAAGGTGCTCTTCAAAACGTTGTGTTTCAGTTTTTGGCTTCAAGCAAAATATACCTCGCCTCAGACACAAACGAATATCTACACGCGTACAATTGCACTTTGTGCTATCTACTGGGTGCATGACTATATAAAAGTGCATTCAAAATTCTCTCATTCATTTCCGTACTTTTTGTTCGTATTGCCAGGGAAAGGGGGAAGAAGGCCTACCCAAACTCTCTCGACTTAGCAAGAAGGTGCCAGAAAGAGGGCTTGCTCTTACCAACACTGCAATATGTGTGACAAATATCCATGATCCCCTCCTCGAGCATGCCCCGGGGGGTATTGCCATATATGGCTACGTAGGTATGTGCCGCTGTAAATTAAAGGTATGGTTTTCAAGCAGTTTACTGTGGGATAGGGTATATAAATCAGAGAGTCTGGGAGTAGAATAGGCTATCATTTTTCAGAAAACTGATCAATTGGTTGAAACAAATTGGCAAGTTTAAATTTACGCAACTCAGCCTAAAATGGAGGATAGTGGGATATGGGGAGTTTAGTCTAGTATAGGGTAGCAAAATTCAGCTGAACTAGCTCTGGATAGGCCAACGGTTCCAGGAGTCCCAGCGGCACATCCCCACCCAAAGATTCCTAAAGTCTCCTTCCCAGGGGCGCATGCCTCATATTGTAAAGTGAAAGCAGGAGCTAAGTGTGTTACAATGTTAAAATTCCACACCCAGAAAGTAAGTGTGAAATGCGTGTTCGATCATTCTCAGCATGAAGATTCCAAAAAGTGCAGTCATCAAGACTAGACTTTCGGAAGCACGCTCTGCTTGATTAGCCTTTACTCCAAGCTGATCTGCTGTTGGAGGCGGGGTTGCACTAAATGAATTACAGAGATCCTCACCACAGCAATTAACAAAGCAATTCTCCACATAAGTACCCTGAGCCTTCGCTAACTCCTGCATCATTGCGCACCTGTTTTTAATTGCGTGACAGTCACGCCTGTCGGTCGCACAGTCTTTCCACTCTGTTGTCTCCACTAGTTTTCTCGTGGTGTCGTTGAAGACCTGGGCTTTGAGAGAGAAGCAAGAATCAAACACACCGTTTTTTGAACAGTTTTTCTCTTGTTGCATCCTCTCTGGCAGCTTTGAAATGAATCCTGGCTCGATTTTAAAGCATTTCTCTAAAGGCTTGCGGGGCTGTGGAGTAATCTTGATGCAAGGAAGGGTGGTGGGTGGTTTCGGCTCGGGTATTGGATTGTTGCATAAATCACTTGAGCAACACTGAGGGCGACATGTGGGATCCACGAATACTTCTTGATTTTCTCTCCAAAGGCGAAGTTTTATTTCTTTACAAGGCTGCGTAGAATTACACTCATACTCTTGTGCGCATTTCCTAATAATATAGAATGAGATATTAGTTTGTTATTGGCGCTATCTTTCGTGTAAAAGGGAAACCTACAACAATAAATATCACAAATTCAACTGGCCTGATGATATGACTGTGCGCATGCGTTAAGTGCTTGCCGTGTTTTAGTGCATGTGTATCAACTGCCGTTAAGTTATTTTATCTACCCATTCAGCAGGGCACATTTTCTTTTCATGAACAGTCTTTTTTGAACTGTTATTAAAAGTGTTCTTTTCCTGAAAATAAGGAAATTTATAACCCACAATCCTGGACATTTTGTTTTGCTCATCCCTCGCCGGGATACACCGTAACCGTACCACGCCCACCCACCACGTTTCCCGAAAAATTTTACGCATAATATTATAATTGTCTTCGGCTTAACTAATACATAAATAATTGTAAATTCGACTTCAAATTTCTTTTAAGACTACTTCAAGTGCACTTATTTGTCCTAGCTTAATCTCATCATCTTCATCCTTCGACCACCGGAGTGAACAGGGGCGGGGCATTCACGGAGATTTCTTCCCAAACACTACGATTTGCCATCGCGGAACTCAGGTCCCTGGTATCAAGTCCTGAAACCCTAGAGTTTAGACCCTAGAACAGGGGGAGGCCCTGACTTAGAGCCATGGTTTGATTACCACAGGAGCCGATACTAACAATGGCTAGACCGTTTTGAACGACCATTCACGAAAGGCTCGTGAACAACCTCGTCCCCAGGCCAGTTCGCGCTATCCGAGTGAGTGGAGGAGGCTTGGAACTGACTTGAAACAGGCTAATTCTCCCGACAAGCTTGAGAGATAACGTCACATTCGAAATCGCCGAGGACGACTGGGAACCAGGCTGGCCCGTAAAATAAGTTCGGCGCGATTCACCGGACCAAGCTGATGTGATAAGCTTGGGTCGTTCAGGGCGGCCGGCTTGTAAGCGAACTCCGTCACGAAAATGACCTTTTGTTCCCGGAGCTCCCTTCTTTTCTCCAACTTTACCCGGTTGAATGGCCAGAAAACCCTTTTATAGTTAGTTAGGGACTACATAGAAAATGAAAACATCTACTTTGAAATACAGTTTACCTCAAATTAGCACTGATACATAAGAAGTTCTTATTGTAGCATGCGCATTAATGCTAAACCTTCATCATACATAGGTTGTCTATGAAAAAACAGAGTCAAGATATTTCTTGCCTTGTTTCTGCTAATAGCCAGGTAAGAGCCCATTTTATAGTCATAGATGGAACGAGGCTATACCTGAAATACAGGGTAGATTTTGTTCCTGTTAAACTTGTTATGGAGGTATCAATGGCCATGCAAACGGCGTGTCGATAAGGACAAGTCTCAATCAATGACTTTCTCAAACACTTTTCCGCTGACCAGCTGGCATTGCAGTTATAGCACGACAGTGCTACAGTTTTCTTGAGGATGACTGAAACGAATTATAACGAAGAATAAAAATTCCATTATTATTTGAAAGCGTCTTTCTTCGCACGGCTTTGCACGCTCTTCACTCTAAACTTTGCTCACGCTCACGATCCGGCCTGCTATGAAGGCCTGGTTTCCCTGTGCAAACAGTACTTGCAGTATTGCGCGCAATATCTCAGTGTCCCTCGACACACTAACGTGCTACCAGTTTTCATGCAAATTTACATAACGCCCAACATTTGGTCTTAGTTAAGCACTCTACGGGGGGTGTTTTCAGCCACCGCAACATCTCAAATGTGAAATTTGAATGGCTGAAGATTTAAGGTTGCGTCACGTCATTTTGCGCTTGTTTCTCTATCACTCTGTATGGTTGACACACAAGGCAACAACGTGTACTTGTTTCATTAATGTTGCGCCCCAACAAATTCCAGGCGACTACAGAAGATGCAAAGTTACTTTGTTTGCGCACAATCATACTGATTTGCCCGGGGCTTTGCAAAGGCTCGGATCGTTATAACCAAAACATAGCCAAACGAATTTCCAATAAGACAAAGCCTTTTAACAGCAAACTAAAGGAATTAGTAAAGCCATATTACCATTTCCTCGGGTATAGGGCTCCCGTTCGAGGAATACCCTAAAATTCCGAAAATAAGCTCCTCCAAAAAGCCCTTCAAACTCGTAACGCAAAAAACCCTCCATAAAAACGCCCCTCCAAATGTAAGCCCCTCGGGGGCTTGTACTTTGAAATTGTCCTCATATACCATGAAGTAAAACAAAGCAAAAAGGGTGAATTTCCTTCCAACTATAAGGCTAGCCCAATCGATTTTGAAACGCAAATTTCTCTCTGTAGATAAGCCCCTCTGAATAAAAGCCCCTCCAAAATTAAGCCCCTCAAAAAGAACCTTTGAAAAATATAAGCCCCGGGGCTTATTTTCGGAATTTTACGATATTTTACTTTTAAGATATTTATTTTTATAGGCTTTAAATAAGGTCGCAGCTCAAATACCACGGTTTTCGTTGTCCACGACATCTCGTGCTGTTTCTAAGGGAAACGTTCCTTCAGTAAACCTGAATCAACGGTGTCACTAATTTCATTGGATGTTATAGAGCAATTTTCAATTGAGTGTTGAAAGTAATGCAGGATTGAATTGGTTTTGCTTTACTGTGCTGTTTGATTGGTCTAGAAAACTCGCGCCACCCTCTCAGCCAATCAGATGTAAACTAAAACCAATCGCTCCTTGGTCACTCGTGTTTTCCCGCGCTACAGGCCGGTTACTCGCGTTTACTTCGAGTTGTCATTGGCTCCCTCTGATAATTTCCTTTGCTCTGATTGGCCGTTGTGATTACTTTACATTGGTTTTGGTTTTCGACACTCATTTGAAAAGCGCTCTATAAAAAACAATATCTTTTAACTGAACAGAGCTACCATTGATGTTTACGACAGTGATTATTTTGGTGTTCTCGATTAAAAAAAGACTTGTTCTTTGTCAATATTAGTGTGAATCAAATTGATTACTAAAAGGTAACGTTTGAGATCGATCTTACCTGTTACAAAAGCCGTAAGCAACAAATTCTGAATGTTTGCCATCTTTCTTCCGAGGGGAACAGCTAGAGCATACAATGTCTGCATTCGAAACGTCATCATTAACATAAACGTATTTCTAGCATAGATCAGTAATCAATAAATTGCAGTACAATGACTTGAAATAGATCAAAATCACTCACCTACAACTCGTCTGCAAATTCAGATTCTCTTTTGTAACACAAGGGTCGTTTGATTCGATGACGCCCAAATTGCAGCCACAACTTAAGCGCAAACGGGATTTTTCTTTTGTTTACTTAACTGTAATAAGTTAAAGGGGCTGGAACGCCAAAAAAATCAAACCAAGAACAAACTTGTTGCTGGCGAAACTTCTCGTCAATCACATTATACAGGAACTGCTGAACACGCTGTTGCCACTTGATGAGTAATCAGACTTTAACCTGGAGTGCGTGCACTTTCTCGGCTGGCCTTAAATAAAAATTTAATGTTTCTTAAACCCTTGGATTCAATCTTCTACACTTATATAACCAATATAGAGGGCGATGAAATAACTTCTATGATGATCTTACCGAAAACAAGAGTCAAGAGGCCCGGATCATAGACTATATTATTACTGAAATTCATATAATCACGACTGTTTTTCCATGCAACTATACAGTTCACAAAATGAAAATATTTTGATGAATCTTATCTTTTTTTCTGAAAGTACGGTTGCGGTTTAATCTAGCTAATCCAGTGCGCTTGAATTTCTCTCAACTTGTTTATGGCGGTTTCTTGTTGTCGAAAAAGAGTAATTCCTGAATACTAAATATTCATTATTTCAGGTGATTTGTTAATACTTCCTAAATCCTTTGTACTTTAACTTAACTTCAAGGCTGTTCTTCATTTTATTAATTAAAGACATTTTGTTTGATGCTTTTTCCCCATTAAACGCATAAAGCAAGTCGTCTACATTGGATTCTTATTCAGAAATTGGAACATCTCATCCGCCCATCTAACACTGTGTGCAGGGGAGCGTTTTCAACTCAATCTGCGTTTTCTCTATTAAAACTTTTAATTTCTTATCGACTTAGCTGTGCAATTGTTAGTTTATCCAAGGATTAAAGAAGCAGTATTTGTAGCTATTTGTCAGTGGCAACGAAAAATCTTAAGACGTTAAATATTTTATCACTCTTGCCACGAAGTCTTTAGCTTTTTAATATTTCAGTAGAAAAACAGCTCTATACCAAGGTCGCTCCAGAAACAAGAGTTGAATGAATTAAGTTATTTTTTTCTTAATAACTAAATAAAAATGTTTATTTTAATTCAAAATCAGTTTTATTACTGAAGCAGGGTGATCGGCTCTTGATAGGAGGGGCTGGACGCCGATCCTGTACAAGAAAACAATTTACGAGTCCTTTCATTATTATTTACAAAGGTATCTATGTCTGTCGTCTTTCCTTCCAGCCATAAAATATCCTTTCACCGGGGGATTGATCCTACACTATTTTTTACCCAACTGTCGATTAAAAAGTGACGCCGGCTATTAAAGATCTTAATGGAAAAGAAAAATCTCATTTACCACTTTTACCAGTAAATTTCTCCACTATTTCGAAACCTATTGGCTTATAACTTCATGGAAATCAAGCGTTTAAAGTTTAATTTATCCGTTTGACTCCATCCAGACTGCCAGAAAAAGAATGAGAAAGAAAGACTGAGAAATCTACCTTGGAAAAAAGAGAGAGAGAAAGAGAGAAAGAGAGAAAGAAAGGAAGGAAGGAAGGAAAAGGCAAAGAAACTGATCCCGTTACGCTTTGCCATCCTTTTGGGAGTCACGCGCGATGTGAATTCAGACAAAATTATAAACCTCGCATTGGCGAGGGCCGTGGACACTCGCTTCGTGAGGGATTTGCAGAACTACAGGTTATAAACGTACGTGGCTGTAAATATTTGTATTGTCAGTTGTCATGTGACCTCAAAGTATAACCAATCAGAGCGCACGTGTCCAATGTTCAGACGCCTTTCTTAAATCAGTGGCAAATCCCCAAGATAGATTAATCAGCTACTGAAGGATTGCTAGACTGTTCACAGTCCCAAAATCGATTTCCCTTGGATTTCCTTCATACATTTACTATAATTTTACCCTCGGTAACTCGGTCCCTCGATAACTCGAACCTCCCGCTAACTCGAAGTAATTTTTGTTTCCATTCAGATCATTTCTATATCATATATTTATCTCGATTACTCGAACCATGCTTTAAGCGCCTGACAAGTAAAAAAAAAGTATACTGCAGTCCGAAACATTGAAATTATTTCACAGCGCGACTACTGTAACCGGGGCCACTTAGACAAAGTTCACCAATCAGATTACAGGAAAATAACAATAAACTCCGGGAAAGTTGGTTGTGGGCCAATAAGCAACTCGTTAAAAAACAGTAAGTTACTCGAAGCACAACGTTTAAATATTTGATAGCAAACGTTTTTCAAGAAAGCAAAATGTTTCACCAGACAATTTTTTTCAATTCGAAACTTTACAAACAACAACTGGAGACAAATTTGTTTCACACAAGCTGCTATTTTTTCATCTACCAGTAATTTCTTCGCTAAAATTGGTGCGCTTTGCAAAAGCATCCCTCTTCAAGTCAAAAATATGACTAACGTTTAGTTAGCCTGCGAAAACAGTCGACATTTGGCGACGCTACCACTGGTTTCCCCTTCAAAAAATGACGTCTGAGAAATGAGTGCAGAAATTCCCTACTGATGACCCGTCACTACCAAGGTCTGGGTAGTGCTTCTGATTGTTCGTACCGCGTGGGAAATTTGATTTAACTCATTTCTCCGACGTCATTTGGCTGGAAAACCAGTGGTAGAGTCGCCAAATGTCGGCTGTTTTCTCAGAATAACGTTTAATATGTTTTTCGCCTCGGGTGTCTGTAAAGTGTCGAAACGGATGGCGGATGGGGACGGCGGACGGCGGAATAGCCTGCATAGTAGGCGCTAGGAAATAAATGGGCACAAGAAAGAACGGGCGCACGCTACGCAGGCCAAAAATCGAAGGATAAGAGCGTTAGGCTGACAATATCGGATTAACTACCAGCTGTATAATCAGTCCAAACTATTCACTTCATATTTTAATTTATAACAACTCCCAAATCCATTTTCCAATTTTCTAAAATTCTACGAAAAATCATTCAAAGGTTCTCAAAACAAATTATTAAGCAGTTCTCAGCTAATATTACAAATGTTCAAAATTTTGTTCAAAACAAGCACAGACACTATCATTCCATATTCGCCTGACAAGAGGCCTCTGGCGGCGTGGGAACGTGTCGTGGGTCTAGCTGTGGTCTTGGTAGATGGTGTTGTGGGAAGTGGACCGTTGCAGTAATCAACACCACAGACCTGTATAGTGCAATTGGTAAGATATTTGCTCACGTCGCAAAAGCCAGCCCATAAACAGTCCTTTAAGTACTGGAAACCATGGTCATCATACGTTAGTATAGCACACCTCAGTCTATCGTCACATGTTGTAACATTTTGGCTCGCTGAACATTCTTCTGCAGACCTTGCTTTGCACCTGTAGCATTTAAGCGAATGTGCTGACGAGAGAAGAGAGTAAAACAAGTTCTTTACGAAAATGAACAGAACCAAAGCGTGAGTAAAATTCTCTAATTCTTCCGGACTTGTTGATAAACTCTAGCGTTTAAGTTCAATAAAATCAAAGGTTCTAGACAGATTTCATTTTAAGACTGGTATGATGATGATTTTCCTAGATTACTTCCATAGCACAGTTTTGTGTAAGATGTACTGAGAACTGGCATAACCTTCTTCGCCCCCCTCAGCTCAGCTCGCATGCGCTGCTTCTCAGACGAATAATAATATTAATGAATAATGTTTATTTCTTATATTGCACAGTCTAGCATGCGATAAAGATATGATCGAATGCGCATTACAACACTAAAATCTTAAAGTAATAAATGGTTAATCCAAATAATGATAATAATAATAATAATTTAGTATTTTCGGAAAACAATAAAAGTAAAATATGACTTAATAAAAGAACTAAAAAAAAGGTAGTTTAAAAAGATGTGTCTTTAGTAAAACTTTAAAAATGTTCAATGATTGACTTTGGCTAATTTCTAGAGGGAGTCGGTTCCATACTTTGGGCGCAGCATTTCAAACGCCCTATCCCCGCCCTATCCCCGAGTGTCTTAACAAACTGATTTGCGATTCATCTGCCTACCCTACATCCTCGGAACACAGGAAAAACGTTTTCTATTGCTTAAATATTGCTTTTTTACAAAAATACTGTTACTTTGCCGTTTACAAGCAATTTATTTGTAAACGTTAAGTTTCACAGTGCATAAGGAAATGTACCGAATTTACGCGAATTAGCGCCGCGGCGTTTATTAACTTTTTCGCCAAAAATGCGGCGCTTATTTGAGAGCGGAGCTTAATACCATAGTAATATCGCTTAGTACCGTATTTACTCGAATAAGCGCTGCGGCGCTAATTAACTCCCCTGTGCCCCAAATGCGGCGCTTATTTGAAGGCGGGGCTTAATCGAATAATTACTGTACTTGGCAGCTTAAGAGTTTATTACATTTAGGGCAAATTGTTATCACATTTAGGACTTTATTACATTTAGGACAAAATGTTATTACATTTAGGACCGTTTATTACATTTAGGCCTTCAAAACCCTGTTCGTTCACCAAGCTTTCCTAACCATAAACGAAGGAAGTACCGATGAGTCGAAAAACGTTTTAGATACTATCAGCAGGAGCAATTTAATTTGCACTGAGAAAATTCTGTTTCTGACAGATCACAATGTATCGTAAATAATAGGAAGTTTAAGATGAAGCGGCGACGAGAAAGCAAAAAAAGCAGTAGCTTGACAAGGCAAAACAACAACTTTGCACGTGCATCACGCTTTTTTGTATATTTCTTTGCCGTCACTGAACGACTCCTGACTACCACGTGAAAATGCCTAACTTCTAGTTTTGGGAAGGACGTAAACAAGCAATGACAAAATTTTCTTTCTCTTTATGAACTTGGATATGGTTGATAGAAATTCAGCTCCAGAAGAGTTCTCTTGCATTTGACAAAGTAAGTGAGTTGGAATAATCACGATAGACACTGAAAAAATGTGAGTTCAGTCTTCATGCGACGTTTTCGTGGTTGTCAGCTGTCGTGGCATTTAAAACTCCCTAACGCCACGAAGGACGTCGATAAAACCCGGAACATGGAACATTCCGGAACATGAAACATTAAAGTATTTTTTTTATGAAAAAATTAATAATTAATTAATATAATAATAATATTAATAATCATAATAATAATAATAAATATTAAAAAGAACAATAGATAGAAAACAATTCATTGCAAAAATTTATAATAACAAAATAAATAACATAACATAACATAACATAACATAACATAAAAACGAAAAATAAAGAAACAAAGAAAAAAAGAAAGAAAAAGAAACTGGTATCATCTCCGAGTATAAGAAAACAATATTTTGTCGCAATGAATTTTTTGGGCGAGTGAGGGTCCATTCAAATGACAGTAATGAGTGAATTCTAAATTCAAAATATATTAAATGGGTCGCGAGGAGACGGGTTTCAAGCTTTCGTCACACAGCCACCTCTTATAAATGTTTGCCATGCGGTTTATCGGTTATTCATTTATGGCTTTGCGACCGTAAGAAGAGCTTAGGGGCTCGTCGCTTTGGACTTCGCCGTGAATAGTTGCAGTGGCAGTGGTAGCACAGCGGTAGTTTCTAACTGTTATCAGTTAGCCTGAATTTTAGCCGCCTCCCGGCAAACTCCTCTTGCGACTCGAGGAGACGTCTGAAATATCATCCTGACTGTAAACAGTATAGAAACTAATACGAAGGTGAGTATTGTCCACTAAAATCCAAAGACAGGAGCCCCTATACTCTTCAACCTCAAGTGAAGCAAAGCACCTCAAGTAAGCAAATGTCGGTTATATATAAGGAGATATGTTGGCTTGAAATGAGCTACTTACCGACTTGGCTCGACATAAAATACTGTACCGACATTTTTTAAACCATTGCAGAACCATAAATGGATAACTGCCAAATGATTAACTCATGGCAAACAATTACAAGAGGTGGCTGTGTGAGGAGAGCTTTAATAAAAAGCCCCTTCCTCGCGACCCATTTTAATATATTTTGAATTTAGAAGCAAGCTTTCACTCATATGCACTCATTACTGTCACTTGCATGAACCCTCACTCGCCAAACAAATTTTAATCGTTCGCGACAAAATATTGCTTTCTCATACTCAGAGAGGATACCAGTTTCTTTTTCTTGATTATTTCATTCTTTTTCTTTTTTTTTTTGTTATTTTACGCTATTATTAATTTTTAGAAAAATTATTTTATTATTCAGTTATTATTATATTATATTAGCCAGCTCTTCAATGCCATATATGACTGCATGGCTATTTTATATATAACAAACGGGTGATTTCTCGCGCGCTGATTAGTTAATTTTTGCCATCAATCGGCGCCAGTCCCGATGGTGTCCCGCAAAGTGAGAGTTCACTTTGAAGTGAGTCAAGGGAGGCAATTGAACATCAGTCGTTTTTTTAAAAACTTTTCTGAGCATTTACTTAAAATAATTTCATTCATTGAAATATGAATTGATAATCATTAATTTCCAGAACGATTATGTTAAAGGTGACCAGGAGACATGAGTTATAAAACCTGATCACCTTCTTTTACTAGTTATGCTCAGTCGAGTGCAACGAAAGGTATGAAACTTGAAAACTTACATCCGGACCTTTGTTTTTTTGTCGCCCTAACCACAACTATTCTAGAAAAGAACTGTCCACAGGACGCTATGACACACAATCCAATGCGCATTAACTACATGTCAGGGCATCAATGCTATACGTTAAAAATTTGTTGTTTAGAAAGCTAAATCATGTTTTTTCTAACCCTTCTGCTCCTAAGGACGATTATGGAGGCAGAGGGTGCTTACAATTTTTACAAAAACCATCTGATCGTGCCTAAATCTCGTTGACTTCATGCATAATTTTAGTCATTAACGATTGAACTGATTGACTTTGCGAGAAGAGGACCCGACACAGCTCGGTGTAAGCCTTAATAAACAGCCAAAGAGACTAAAAGGAAGACAAAGAAAATTCATGGCCTCAAACACCAGCCAATATTTTCTCAAGTGTCTTTCTCCTTGATACCGGCCCGATGAACTTCCTTGGGTAACTTTGACCACGGTATTTCATTACGCAAGTTAATGACAGGAAAATCACATTGAGAACTCTGTTCAGTGAATTTCCTACGACACGTAGTTTAGGGAAGAAAGAGAAGGAAATAACACAGGTATACTTCACACTGTTTCATTAATTAAAAACAAGGATACGTATTGACGTTGTGGAAGGCCGGTGCCAGAGGGGAATTGTGTTGACAAAATTACGTTGCATCGCTCAAGCGCATGAAAGTCATTACGCGGCGTAACTGTTAGCAAGTTGTTTTCTATGTGATAAGGACTCACTGAGACGTCCTTGAGCCTTTGTCACGGGTTGTATTGAATGTTAAAATACGCAAGTTAGTTTGTTGTAGCATAACGCCCCTCTTATAGCTACAGTGATTGTTAGATATAACTCCGATTGTGCATGTGGGTGCATGCGTTTGGCAATCGCTAATTATGGTCGGCTGTACTCACCTACAGACAGCCAACTGAAGCACACCAAAATGTAGGTTAGTCTCTGCAAATTCCACATGTTTTTTTTTTAACTTTGATCACGTCTTCTTTATCGTCGTTGCTCAAACTCGCGAGAGTTTAATTGCTTCACTTTAACTTGGAAGGTAACCGACTGAAAGAAATAGTAGGGAGGCAATGAAGCAGTGGCGTTTTTGAGCGAGTAACGTCAACGTCAAAAGTGGACATTTTGGATTCACGGGCAGTGGTTTTGCCCAAAATTTTCGGCAACTTGTCTATATAATAGAAAGGACACTAAGCAATACACATTTTGTAGTGTCCAGGCATATTTAAAGGGAAAAGACATGACTTCCGTTTGAAGTGCGTCGCTCAAAAACGCTGGGACAAGCTAATATACCTGGTCAGTTTCCGCCGACGCACAAGTCAATAAAAATTGCACGTATCCATATGAAATTAAAAACGTTGATTTTTTTCTCCGTCTTTGCCTTCCGTCTAAACGTCGCCCTCCGTTACCAAAAATGCAGGTAAAGTTCCCTAGAGTGGAGTGTTTTGAAAACTCCGGCTTAACCTTTTTGGGTGGAACCACGAAAGCGTAAATTTTCGAATACGATGATGTCATGCAACATAAAGCGCATGCTCTCCAATAGCATGCGCAGCAGGCGCTTGGCAGCCTGTGTCCAAACGCCCCCTCCCCTAAAAAAAAAAAAATCGGGGAGAGAGACAGGTTATTGTTATTGGTTGTTATGTTAATGCATTAATATTATGTCTTTTCCGGTGTTTTTATTGGTGAATGAATCTCCGAATTCCCCAAGGAAAACCTCAGCCTTTATGAACAACTTACGAAAACAATGATACAACAATTTGTTTTTCGGCTTTCTGGAAATACTAAGTCAAAGTGAGACCCCTGCTGTTTGCTGGATCGATTTCGGGTGCTGGAATTCTCTGCCGGTGAATTACCGGTGGCTATTGTAGGTGACTGAAGGACGAAAAGAATTCAACGCTTTACCCTGCTATCAGAGGCCTTCAATTTAGGTTTATATTTTATTATATAAATTTGATAGAATCATCTTCAGTGTTAAAGCGTGTAATAGAGAAACCGTCGACGATCTGTCATGACTCAGGGAAGCCAAGAACCCATGTTATAGCTACTGCGCTAGGTGCCAAAGAGCAAAGATTCTACCCATACTCGCGCGCTGTTCAATATATTTGGAAATACCATGAATTACCGTAATTTACCAAAAATAGTTTGAACTCAATTAGATGGCATAAGCGAAAATTACCTTAAAAATAGTGAACTAAACTGTTCTACTGCATAAAGAATTTGAAATCCCGACTTAACATACAATGTAGCATATTTGTCAAGATATTGAAGTTCGTGTTTTTGTCCGAAGTTGCGCACAAGTCATTTTGCGTAAAATTTAGTGGTCTTATAAGCGAACTTAGAATCCTCAAAAATCATATTAAAGTCCACGAATATTCAACGTACAGATTTATAGTTGGTCTCTTTTTAAAGCTTAGGAAGTCTAATTTTCAGGAAAAAAAGATTTATGGTCCGCCGATGAAGCCTTCCGAATAATTTTGCAGCGTTTTTTTTTTCTTAGCGGCAGGCAATAAAAAATTCCAGCGGGCAAATGATTCTTTACTTAAAGATCACTGTTTCTCAGCTTTTAGAAATGATTGATCGCTGTCATTTATTTATATTTATTATTATTATTTAACTTGTTTATATTTTATATTTATTAAGAAATACTTTTATCATTTGAAATTGCAATATATTGCTATATATAATTTACAAGTGTTTTTTTAAATTCTATTATTGTATTTCCGTGATACTGTAATCTATTTAATTCATATTGACTTGATGCGAAAGTGTTGTCAATTAATAAATGTAGATGTAGATGTAGATGCAAATGAATCCTCCCGACAACTGGTTGAAGACGGGATCACAACACGCAGGTGGCTAGTGGATTCCCCGGGGGGGGGGGGGTACTGCCATATATGGGCTATATGGGTATGTGCCGCTGTGAAGGGTATGGTTTTCAAGCAGTTTACTCTAGGATAGGGTATATAAATCAGAACATTTGGGTCTGGAATAGGGTATCATTTTTCAGGAAACTGATCATGATCAGTTGGTTGAAGATTTTATCTAGACTGAGGGTCTCAATGGGGTTAACCGATAGGCGTAAAACTGCCAAAAATTTAGTCGATAGCCGTAAAAATTGGAAAATTTTAACCGTTAGCCGTAAATAGGGTAAAAAAGAGTTAACCGTAAAAGAAATTGTTCCCTAGATTTGTTAATTTTAAGGAAGGTGCTAAACTCGCTTATGGTTGCGTTTTTTATTTCCCGGCTACTTTTGACTCCGTACGCACGTTAGGCCAAGCGCCTTTTAGGTGTTGACCTAGACCTAGGCTCCATTTCCGCCGCTCTCTCGAATAATCAAGTTTTTTCCATAGCAAAAATCTGGCTTCTTGCTGGGGGTTAATATTTGTGATTTTCAGGAGGTCATGCCCTCGAAATACTAGTGAAACAACACGCAGAGATGTCACTGTTTGTAAAACACGTTGCCGATAAACAACAATTCCCTGTTTTTCTCTGACGCTACGGTAGACATTGCCATGCCTATTCCCCGTACGGCGTCTTCCCACGCAATCTCGAGAAGGCATTTCGGTGGCGTATCTGAGAAAAAACACTCGCTCGGACTGACCCGAAGTGCATTAGCCGCGCGGAATAATGACGCCTATGGACAAGGCAACGGCAGAGAGTCGTTCTGTACAGTCCTTCGCTACTGGACACGGGAATTTTGTTATTGGCAGTTTTAATACTAGAGCTAGAAATGGATTATCCATCTGAGACTAGCCTAGCTGTGTATAGTCGCCACCTCCCCCACAGACACCCATTCTCCGATTTTTTCTCAGGGGAGGGGGCGGCTGTACACAGGCTATCTGAAACGGATAATCCATCTTCAAACTGTCCGTCAAAAATGACGGATAAAGTCAGACGACGGATAACCCGTCTCACACGAAGATCCGTCTCTAAAACGGCTATTTCTGTTTTAAATGAATGTCGCGCCCCGGCCTTGAGTTGGGCGTTCGCGTGTCTGCTTTTACTTTTTCACAAAGATTATTTTTAAATTGACTATTGACATTTCTATGCGTAAATAATATTAGAGATGGAATACAAAAGAATAGCTTATTTCATCCCGAGATGATCCTGAGACCTTTATTTTGCTTTAAAGATAAAAAAAATACAGGTTTATTAATATGTAACTCTTTGAAACAAAATAAATTAATTTTTGAACTTTTTTGTTAACCGTAACTGAAAAAAATTAATCGATAGCCGTAAAAGAGCCAAAATTTTAGCCGATAACCGTAAAAGCCACCACCCCGTTGAGACCCTCTAGACTAGGGAAACAGCTACTCTATGATAGGGAGGATTTGGGGAGTTTACTCTAGTCAGTAGGGTAGCAAAATTTAGCTGAACTAACTCTGGTATAGGTTAAGGGTTCCAGGGTCCCAGCAGAACATCCCCACCCAGAAATCCCTAAAGTACCCCCCGGGTGGATTCCTTGTTCTGCATCACGTGTTCGCATTCTCTGTTCTGCATTACGTCATAAAAGTTACCTTACACTACTATATGTTACACCTAGCTGTTACACCTTGGAAATTTCGCGCACGGCTTTATTAGGCTGCCTCCTCGCTGCCTCGCTGCCTCGCTGCCTCGCGTCTTCGCGAAGCTGCTCGTTGGCAATTATCAGCATCATGATTTGGCTTAAAAGTGTTTGCAGTAAAGAGCAAATTCACGTTATTCGTATACAAAATTCATCTAGGAGATCAAATCAGCAGGATATACCTTTTTAACAGACTCACACGAAATTGTTTACCCCTGTTTGGGACAAAGAGGTCAAAAACTTGAAAAACCATACCCTGTCCAGCGGTAAATCAGAAACCAAATTAAACAGTTTAGGCCATTTAACGTCATGTCATAGTTTACCCCGAATGGAACTTTCTGGAGGATACATTTGGACAGTCCCCCTCCCTTTGTAGATCCCTTGCATAATGTACTTTTAACATATCTTTAACATCAGATATGCCAAAACATTGGGAGCCATGCTGCAGATAATAGTAACCCTTCTCTTCTTTCTGCCAGAAGGTAAATACAAGAGCTAATTTCACAAATTACACCTAAGTCTTACATGACGCTGTGACCTGCACACGATTTCCAAGATGGTGACCAATTTGCTGAGGAACGAGTACGTTTAATTTGAGTGGCCGGGTATTAAGTTTAGCCAGTTGTGGTACACCGCAACAGGTAAATTTTATAACATAAAATCCAATGATCCAAGTTTGTGGGTATGTAGGACTCAAAGCAGAATATTGGTGTTTTAGGTCAGTTCTGTGCTGAAGTCTCTACTTGTACAAGGTGCTTTTACCCATACAAAAAATGCTCCTGTAGAGTTATGAGGAAGATTTTCATCAAATTTCATCAGGGGCACTAATCATAATTTTTTGTGATAAATTATTTCACGCATGGCATTTTCAAGTTTTAATCTAAGTCAATCCTTACCCAGGGGTGGGTACTCCGGATCTCAGGTGACAGGAACGATCGAGTGGGGGCAAAAATCAACCCCCCCCAAAAATCCCGAGGGCTTCAAACAAAACCCCCCAAAAATTGTGGACCAAAATTAAACCCCCAAAGAATTCCATGCCAAATTTCGGTGCCAAAAAAATTTCCGGAAAGCATACACATAAGATATAACATGAAATTAGATATTTAAACATAAGTAATGGAATGTTTGTGTTTGTTTATTCATTACACCATCTGAAGTAAGAACCTTTTTCGCATCTTACTACTCTAAACAAGACCACCCTAGGCAAGAACATTACGAACAAGCCTACAAAGTTATTTACAACTTACTGGTATTAGATAATATGTTGAAACTATCACGAATGTTCAGATTGTTTTGAATACCAAAAAAAAATCCGTACTAAAATCAATCTACCCGCAAAAAATACTCGCTTGCCAAAATTTTCCTACCCCAAAAAATCCTTAAACCGAAAAATATCTTGAACACGAAAAAATCCTTTAATCATCCATGTTACTTGAAATCCGGAGTTAAACCCCCTCCCCCGGATCCTTACCGTACGTAGCAACAACAGACAACAAGAAACAGTGTCAACACAAGTAGACCACCTCTCTGTTCATGTTGCTGTTGTTGTTATTGAAATCTGAGTATCCAGTCTTTTGTACTTGGTTCGTCAGTACAATCTTGAAAAGGTCTTGAATTTTAGTAACGGTCCTCATGAAATTATCCCTCAATTCAGTTAAGGTCCTTGAAAAGTACTTGATTTCTTGATTCTGTTTCTTTATTTTAAATGCTGTTTCTGTACCTCAGATGCAATTGCAAGTCATACCCAGTCATTTTCCAAAGCGTTGTTGTGGACAGTAGTTTAAAATTATGTGATCAAACATGGCTGCATGAAGAAGTAAAAATTGTAAATGACTCCAGGCGACGTGTTGTAGCCAATAAGGTGTTCAAAAGGGGGTTAAAGAATG